TTGAGTGAAGCGGTATCTAAGAATACTAAGCAATAAGAGTAGCTGAGTCATAATAAGAGAAATAATAACAAAAACTCATTTCCAATATCCCTACAATTGTACTTTAGGTGTCCAAAAGAAAGCACTTTTTCTTTCCCATCGTTGGATGTGTCTGTCATTTACGCACTCTAGATCAAGTAGGAAATCTTATGGTAGAAGATTCATCCCTAAGCAGTTTGGTGAAGTATCATCTCTATAAAACTGTCTACGACAAAAGTAATGGAAACTGGAGGAAATTAGGTAGTTTTGATTTCGTCAATTCCGTTGACAATTTCCATAAACATTAACTCGACCATTGATAATTAAGTAAAGAGCTTCCAGAAAGTTGATTTACGATTATCTTTCAATGACAAAATGTATCGTAAGATATCTCAGTCAACGTAGACGGTAGGCATATTTATTAGACCATAATGATATAACTCAGTGACTTATCCATCTGCCTTTTGATTGTCCAAATGTAGGTTTGAAATTTGTGATACATAACTATATATAGCAGAGTGGTTTTTCATTCTCTTTGTTAGTGAAAGTGTTTCAAATCTTAGTGAACAAACCTGTGCCTCATTACTGAAAGGATAAATTAATTCAAATTATATGAAATCTATGGAGAATATTCCCCTTGTTTGGTTTTTCTATGTATAACATTGCCTATATTATTTCCGCATATCTTCAACAGACAAAGTAGGTGGTTTTATCGCTTAACAACTTGAAAAAAGGTAAAATATGCATTCATTCTGGTTACTACAGTTATTTTCATCGTAACACATCTAACTATCTTAATCTGTAGAATTTACGTTCTTCAGTCTATAATTACTGTTTCAGGTATATTCAACGTAGAAAGACTAAATTTATATACTGAACACCACAAATAAGATTTAACATCAGAATATATTCTTACTACTTGAACAACACAAACCAATTTAATAATCGGGGAACTTACCACTAAGTGTGCGACAATACTACTAATATATTTTAGGTATATATTTAGTTTATGTTTGCGTTAATTATACTAGTCCGAATTCATTTATTCAAGAGCATTTGCGTCTAATTTAAGGATGTGCCTCATTTATCTAGTAGTATCTGAACATTTAACTTATTAATTAGTTTTGATTTTTCTTTTTCATAACGTTTCGTTTGTTGTCTTTGTGAAAATTTATTTGGGCGTTCGTAGTTTATAACAAACACCAAATGACAAGTCATGTTAAAACAGTTTTAAATTTAGGAAATTTACCATTTAAACTAAATTGAAATGAGCGTTTATAGAAATTCACTTTGTAAATAAAATAAATTTTTTATGAGGAACACCAAATAGCTGTTCATGTCAGGTCTTTTTCATAATCTGTATTTAACGAAACGCCTCAATTGTACCCATGTGTTGTCTGAAAATGCGCATATATCCTATCAGTTGACAATTTTGCATAAAAATTGTTTGTGCTTGGTCATTTGTTTGTATAATGATTTGTTTGAATCCAACTTGTCTAAAAGTAATGTAAAGCTTGATAGTATCATAGAGATTGTAGTGTCGGTCACTATGTTAAGCCCATATGACTTATTCTAGTTCTGACAGGCCAATTTATCCATTCTTCTTGAGTCACATTTTGACCTTGTCAATTATTCACTTATAAACCCAAAATTTTCATATGAGCGTATGTATGTGTACATCATATCCTACTCATCACATATCTGTAGTTTATTTTTGTGTGACTATAAATATTGATTAACGCTTGATTAATTGGAGTTGGTTTTCATACCATCTCGATTACACGTTATTTCGCTTCACACTCTCTTTTCTTCGCTTCATTCCTCTGATTGTCCGTTCAAATCAGTGAGTGTAAAAATATGTATTCAAAAGTCCATCCTCGTATTTGACTTATTTTAAATCCGTCATTCACTAACGCGAATTAAGTCAGTCATTATATACGAGGATAACCAGGATGTATATTTCGATAACAATCATACTTGCAATCTAACCGGAGCCAGATCTCAGGCCACCAAAACACATTCTTGGATGTGAGTTTTGTGTTTGTTTATGATATGCATAAATGCAGATATTGAAACAGTAACTATACTCTCTCAGGTATTTCAATTTTCATCACCTTGCGTTACAGTTAGGGACATGTTTTCAAGATGACTTGGATGATTTGGCATGAATGCTAAAACAGGTGCTTTTTCTATATATGTTATAAATACTACTAAGTATGTATAAATTACGTGTTATGATTTATTATTCTATACTTGAGTTTATAATCTGCTACACCGTTCAGTAGAATGTTGATCCGAAATAATTTTTTTTAATAAATAGTCTAGATATGTGTTTAATTTCTCGTTTTATTCACGTTACACAAAATGACCGTATTTTCTTTCCCGTAGATTATCCTATAATACAACAATCAGTGGAATTAAGTAAACTAAGGTAGTGTCAAATTTGTGTTTTGCTTTTTTAGCATAATTTGTTCTTCTTTCTAATTTTTATTTAGAATTAAGATAATTTAATTTGTTTACTTTTTGAGTCGCTTCCATTGTCTGGTCATTGAAACTGTAATCGGGAAATATGAGATTATTAAATGAATCATTTTCTGTATTTGAATGATTTGTGAGTTGTATGAGATTTTGCGTTTTATCTCAGAAATAAACAAAAACTTTGGATTATTTATTAGATAGTTGTAATTCGTACGTGTTAACAATAATCAGTAAAGGAAATATATCTAACTGAAATTCGAACAAGTATTGTTGAACTCCGTAGCCGAAGATATTTGCAATCATGAATTGCAGTGATAGATTACAACTTGGTTCATTTGGCTGTTGGTCTCAGCTTAGTTAATGAAGCGTAAGTCTGTTTCGTCATCTACTGATTTACATTAATCTCTTTTTATAGACTAAGTGCTCAGACATGAGCTGTTTAATTTTGCTGGTGGTAGTCGTTTCTTGCTGTAAAGTGCTAGCAAGCATTAAATCCAACCTTAATGTCTTATTTTGTTAAGTATAACGTACTTTTAATCCTATGTCACACAGATTAATGGGGAAAATTATATTGTGATTGACAGACTTTAGTCAGTATCGTTAACTTAGACATAAAGCTATCGTTGTTCCATTTGTTTTACATTGATGGATGTACTAATGATTTATCATGTATCCAGGTTTAAACTCAGCTGTTATATGTACAGGACATTTTAAAATTGATCTTACGAACTTTAAAATAAGCACCTAGCATGTCACTTAATCCACTAGATCAGAGCTGAGAGTTTATCATAATCATCTTGAATTATCATCAAGATAGGTATATTTTATTTCATCTATAAACTTTTATTCACCATGCTTCATGTATTGTATAAACGTTTTTGAAATATATGTATATATCACTCGTCAGTAAGTGGTTGGACTGACAGTTCAGAAAGAAATGTATATATAAATAGGTTAATAAATCTAACTATAATTTCTCCTATGAAGAAATACTTGACCTACTTTATTCAGATCTTTCGAAAATTTAAGTTTTTCTAGTAAATTCAAATAACAGACTTTACACTTAGTTATGATTTCCACTTCTCTCTTTGATATTCATTGTATTGTTTATCAAGCTTTATTCTATCTTCATGTATATTATGCAGTAATAGCCACTAATGTTTGGTGATTTAAAATTTATATATATTTTGAAACAAGCGGATTACCTATTAATCTGACTATTGAACTAATCAATCTTCTTTTTAGAGAAAAGAAATTAAATTTGTAGGTTAAAGTGTATATTATTGTAGTTTTCTCTGTTTTCCTTTTGTTATAAGGCTAAATCAAATCAACTTTTTACTTAGGTGTGGCTTGAAGTATTTATGTTGTTTGTGAACAGATTTAATCGTGAACGAGAAAAAAAGTATCGAGAACATGTATTTTATCTGTAAGCTCACTAGTACCTAGATTTTAGATGGGCTTTTCACTATTCTAGTAGGAAGCTTCTGATTTTATAAAGTCAGACAGGTTAACACAGTTTTATTATTATTATTATTATTATTATTACTAGTAGTAGTAGTAGTGTTAGTATAGTAAACGCGAACTGGGTTGGGGACAACCAATATATTGTTTGATGCAAAATTACAGTTCTTTCATAAAATGTGAAAACCATACATTAAATACTTTGGCAAATCTTTTACCATTTGCCCGTTACATCCTTCATGATTCTTCCATTCCTCAATCCCTTTGTGTTTCTCCTTCTGTTTTTTCAGCGCAATATCCCCAACCTTTTTTGGCAGGCATTCAACTTCTTATCGGTGTTACATACTACTTATGTTGACAGGCATAGGTATCATTCACCACAGTAGTAGTCGAAGTAATAATAATACTATATCCCCAATGTTGTTTGATTTGAGATTGCATTTTCTTAAAAATGGGACAAGAATAAGTTAAAGACATGCGGAAATATTTGTAACATTCAGCTTGTGGTTTGGTTTATATGTAACCTAAAAGGGGTACTCTGCGCTGGGGGAGGCGGAATTTTAAGAGTGATGTGTGAGAAACCTAGTGACTGTTTAGTGCATACATGTAGCACTGCTATGGAGAGCATTTTCTTAAGGTTTCGTAAATTATTTATTGTACTGTTATGAGTTTTGAATGATTGATATCAGTTAGATTTCAATTGTTTTTGATATTTTTGTATTGGTCTGTGCGTATTTTAGTTATAAAAATTCATATATTTTCGCTTCGAACTTATTGAAAAGAAATTTAATGTAATAAAAGACATTCATTTTACAGTTACAGAGTAATAGTAAACATGGTATGGTGGTTTAGTGAATCAAGGAATTAACTTGATCCGTGAATTTCATGTTAAAATAATGCTTCACTTTATTCTGGTCAAGTAACTAACATATCAGTAGTAAATTACCCAAAATACATAATTGAGTTCTTAAGTATGTGAATAAATTCTTCATTGAATATAGTATATCTTTATTGTTTTTATTTCTTTGTCATTTTCTGTTTAGATGTCACTAAAGCACTTCCAGATCAACAGTTGTCTAGACATTTAGAGGTAATTCTAATGATTTGTGTTATTAAAAGAAATAATAATTACATAGTTTTTGAGATATTTATGTAGTTGATTGCACCTTTTATTAACCGAAGCCAATAGCTTTTAGTTCATCTTATTGTTCACGTTAACTCTTGCATCAGAAATTATTTGATATGTTGTATCTTGAGTACTGTAGAATGGAAAATCTTTCGAAACGTACTAACTGCACATCTATCCAGTGATTTTAATTAATAAATGAAGAAGGTCCCAGTAATTCTGGAAAAACTTACTTGATCGTAAACATATTCTATCTAAAAAATTTTTTACGAGTTTCATAAATCTCACGATCATTCTAATTATACTTATGTGATAAGGAATGAGGTCATCTTGACTATTGTTATTAAGATTACTATTAATGTGCCTTTATTTACTTTAGTAATATCTCAGATACTAATATTCTTTTCTAAGTGTTACATTTTATATTTTATTTGTTTATTTAAACATAACTATTCGTACGGAAAGTTACTGAAGTATATATGCATCACACAGTAAAAGTGACATTATGAAGAGTTAGGGAAAGGAATATAAGTATAATCCAAAAAGAACAAAAATGAATAGAAATTATTCGAGAGTGAAAAATGATAATAATGGATGAAGCAGGCCAGTTAAAATTATACAATTATAAAGGACCCTTTTAGTTAACGAAGTTCCTGTCACTTGTGAAAAAGTAAAAGAAAGTTACCGTAAGACCGCCGCTGCCTTTTATTCTAAGCCATGTCTGGTTATGTCGCAAGTCACCGTTAAGTGGATCGGTCGATACTGGCCAAGGAGGATAGAACAGTCTAATTAATGTCTCTGAGGCAGCGAACTGTTCCTGAACGAACTCTCTCCATCGTTTAATACGTCGGTACATGTTATTAGTTGGCATCTCATCAGTTTCAAAAATTGTTTCACTCACACCAGACGTCTTGCAGCCAATGGCTGGAATGAGTTAAAAGAGCTTTCGGCAGTTACTAAATGTAGTTGCTTCTTTCAAATCGTTAGCACGCTACAACCACCAGGCTTGTCTGTCCGTACTCAAACTTTTCATAATTTCATTACGTAATAATCTACATTTATCGTCAAACTCGTGGTTACTCAACGTAACCCGACGTGCCTCAAAACCCAGTGGTTATAAGCGGGACGTTTCGCGAAGCCGCAAGAGACCTCACTCGCCATTTACATGAGGTCATGCAATTTCAGCCATCACTCATCTATACTTTTCAGTGGATTAATAGCTGGATTTGATATTTAGTTGCAACACGAGCTGCTGCGAATTCGCTAATATCGATCCATTTGGGACGATCAATTTGTTGGCCACATTTGGAAACGTTCGTTCAGCTCCAAAATATTTCATGCATCGAAAGTCTTTGATATTGATAAATACTGAATAGATGTCAAGAAGAGCAGTCTGATTTCAAATTTGTTTGGAATAATATGATTTTAGAAATTTGAAACTTACGTTGATGTCTAACAAATACGTTTTATCAAAGAAAATTTCGTCATTCAGTTGCATTCGTTTTGTAAATAGGCATTTTTTGTTGAAATTTCAGTTATCATCACCAAATGATATAATCCTTGAGAATACATGGAGATATAGGTCATTTCCAGGTATAAAAATACCGGTTGTTCGTTCCCCTCATCCAACCTTTGGATCACCATGGCCATTACCATGGAGTTGGTCATCATCTTCATGTTATTATAATGTGGATATGCAACAGTTTCACTTTGAATTCCATACAATTTCAAACGAGATTCTACAAGTAGGGTGTTTCATTCTAATATGTTGAACATTTTACCTTATTCTCTTCATCGCTTGTTTGTACTGTTTGTTTATTTGATAGATATTAGAGTTAATGTCATAAATCATTTTAGGGCCTCAGTGTTTGAAGAATGGTAATCGTAGGTACCAGGTTGTAATATTAACGGTTTATCTGAATTTTCCGTCCTCTTTTTCACTCAACGTTTACAAAAATTCGAATTAATAAAAATAATGATTCAGTGAAAGACTTTGGCTTCATAAATGTTGTTTGATTTCATTGTCTATGATTACAGCTGAACTTGGTTTGGTATCATTTATAGATAAATGAATGAGAGCGGTATCCAATAAGAGATACATTTTGGTTTAAAATATATCTAAAAGACTTTCATTTAAGGGGTGATCATCTTTTTTTATGAGGAGTGCAAAAGAAAGCTACAGCGGGATTGCAACCGGCTTCTATTTTGTTTGACCTTTGGTGGCGAATCAGAATGGACTGACAGATATACGTAAGGTTTGATACGGTTCGACATCAGTCCAAGAAATTGTACCTTTCCTCAGTCAAACAAATAAAAACCAACCAGTGGAAAACCCGAAATCTTGAAATGATTTTTGTCAACAGTAGTGAAGTATCAAATAAGAAAATGCAATGAAAACTATTATAACTAGGGAAATATGATACATATAATTAAAAAAGTAAGCAAATGTATTACGAACACCATATAAGCGTTTAACGTTATTTGGTTTTTTAACAACACAGTTCCAAAATTAATCGACAAAAAAGTTGATAGAATTTTAAAAAAATGAACCAATGGGTTCTAACTCAATTGCCCAATGATGACATGCTTCTTACAAGGCTCAAAGGTCCCCGATTCGATCTCATATCCTATTGTGGATGTATATTGCTGAGAAATTCTTTGAAAAATAAAATAAAACCACTTTATTGGTTTCTGATTCTTCTAGGTATCTGTTTATCTTCGCTCTCTAATGTATATTAGTAAGAAACATGAAATCAAATAATTCTAAACTTTTTCTAGTAATCTCAAGTCAGCATAACAAGTGTTGGAAGCCGCGTAGAAAACCGGGCAACTGTTATTTAAGTATTTAGAAATTCCTTTACATTGCATGCACCGAAAAGTTGTTTGCTATTGATTTAACTCTAAACATTGTTGAGTTTGCAGTGAATTTGTTGTAAGCTCTCAATAATAAAGTCTGATTTCAATGAAAATAGGATAAGTTAATTTCTTTAATACTGTAATAACCTTTTTAACTGATATAAACGTCAAATTATGACCATGTATGATATGTACCGTGAACCCATTATCTAATAATTATCATTTTATGTTGCCTACAGGTTTTGTTACTGTTGAATGATGAATGCACATCAGTACATCAATCTCTTTTCTCTTTCTAGTCAGCTGTAAATCGATATACGTATATGATACGGAATAAGCTTGGTTTTTCTGTGTACCCAAATGTTTGGCGACATAATGAAAAGAGCTTATTCAGTCATTTCTCTGATAATTATCAGTCGACTTGTGAAAATTCTCCTGTAAAGAGAAATCAGGATTTTCGCGACAGTAGTTGGAAAAAAAGTTCATCATCATTCCGAGCAAATCGTCATTATTCAAGTAGGACTAATAATAACTCCCATGATACTAATTTAAAAACTTCAAATGATATATCTCATAATTTTATATCTGAACAAATGTCTCATTTAATTCGCAAGTACAAATTATCTGAACACAGTATACGGCGTAGAGGAATTCAAAATTCTGCTTTGTTGCATGTGATAAATCCCGATTCAAAATTGCCACACGTTAATATGGATGAATCCTGTGAGTTATCTGTATATCTATATATCATGATGTATTGTCATTAATGTATTATAATCACTCATATGAAAAAAACTACCGAAAACTAAAAATTTCCGCCTGGAGTCACTCCGGGGGCTACTTCCGGTACCAAGCCCGTATAAAGGAGGAGGGTTAGGCATGGGGTTAGCGACCCCATCCCGTAGAAAACTAACTCGCTAAAAAATGCTAACCAGAAAAAAATTATTTGAACCACCTAAACTCTGCCCTGGGAGTCAGAAGGTCTTCATTTAGAAAAACTATGATGCCTCATGATGAAAGCCGAGTTCCTTCGGAAGTCAAGAGGCCGACGCCCCTTCTGACAACCAGAGAAACCATTTATTTAGGTACATGGAATACTCGTACAATGTGGGACACCGGGGGAGTCTTCCAAATTGCTGCAGAAATGAGTAGATACAACCTAGAGGTGCTTGGGATCAGTGAAACACATTGGACGCAATTTGGACAACAACGACTAGCTTCAGGGGAGCTTCTGCTATACTCCGGTCATGAAGCGGAAAATGCCCCACATACACAAGGAGTTGCATTGATGCTGTCCAAATAAGCACAAAATGCACTTACAGGATGGGGATCTCATGGACCAAGGATAATCAAAGCCTCCTTCAAAACAAAGAAAGAGGGCATTTCAATGAACATCATCCAATGCTATGCACCTACTAACGACTACAATGAAAACGCTAAAGATCAATTCTACGATAGGCTGCAGTCAATCGTCGAGAAGTGCCCAACAAAGGACCTGACCATTCTGATGGGAGATTTCAATGCCAAGGTTGGAATGGACAACACTGGATATGAAGACATCATGGGACGACACGGACTGGGAGAAAGGAACGAAAATGGTGAGAGATTTGCAAACCTATATGCCTTCAATAAACTGGTCATAGGCGGAACTATATTCCCACATAAACGCATACACAAAACCACATGGACTTCACCGGATCACACTACACAAAACCAAATTGACCATATCTGCATCAACAAAAAGTTCAGGAGGACTATAGAGGACGTGAGAACCAAGAGAGGAGCCGATATAGCATCAGATCATCACTTGCTGGTCGCCAAGATGAAATTGAAACTCAAGAAGCACTGGACAATGGGGCGGACAATATCACAAAAGTTCAATACGGCCTTTCTTCAGGATACTAACAAACTCAACGAATTCAAGATAGCCCTCAGCAGCGAGTTCCAGGCCTTTCATGATCTACTCAATGGAGAAGGAACTACTGTGGAGAGCAACTGGAAGGGGATCAAAGAGGCAATCACTTCAACATGTCATGAGGTCCTGGGTCACAAGAAGCACCATCACAAGGAATAGATCACTGTTGTTACACTGGATAAGATTCAAGAAAGAAGGAACAAGAAGGCAGCAATCAATACCAGTCGAACAAGAGCAGAAAAAGCCAAGGCACAAGCTAAATACACAGTAGTAAACAAACAAGTGAAGAAGAGCATCAGAACCGACAAACGTAAATATGTGGAAGATCTAGCAAAGACGGCGGAAAAGGCTGCAAGAGAAGGGAACATGAGACAACTGTATGACATAACAAAGAAACTCTCTGGAAATCGCCGCAAACCAGAACGACCAGTGAAAAGCAAGGAAGGCGAGGTAATCACCAACATCGAAGAGCAACAAAACAGGTGGGTAGAACACTTCAAAGAACTCTTGAATCGACCAGCTCCACTGAACCCACATAACATCGAAGCAGCACCTACGGACCTCCCAATCAATATTGGCCCACCAACAGTTGGAGAAATCATGGCCATCAGGTAAATCAAGAGTGGCAAAGCAGCAGGACCAAACAACATTCCATCAGAGGCACTAAAAGTAGACGTAGTGGCAACTGCAAGGATACTCCACATTCTCTTCAATAAGATTTGGGATGAAGAACAAGTGCCAAAAGACTAGAAAGAAGGACTCCTGATCAAAATACCGAAGAAAGGCGATTTCAGCAAGTGTGATAACTACAGGGGCATCACTCTTCTCTCAATACCGGGAAACGTCTTCAACAGGGTATTGTTGAACAAGATGAAGGACTGCGTAGACGCCCAACTTCGTGACCAACAGGCAGGATTCCGTAAATATAGATTGTGTACAGACCAAATCGCAACTCTACGGATCATTGTGGAACAATCAATTGAATGGAATTCATCACTTTACATAAACTTCATTGACTACGAAAAGGCATTTGATAGCGTGGACAGAACAACACTATGGAAACTTTTTCGACACTACAGCGTGCCTCAAAAGATAGTCAATATCATACAGAGTTCATATGATGGATTACACTGCAAAATCGTGCATGGAGGACAGTTGACAAAGTCGTTCGAAGTGAAGACCGGTGTTAGGCAAGGTTGCTTACTCTCACCCTTTCTCTTTCTCCTGGTGATCGACTGGATCATGAAGACGTCAACATCTGAAGGGAAACACGGGATACAATGGACATCTAGGATGCAGCTGGACGATCTAGACTTCGCAGATGATCTGGCCCTTCTATCCCAAACGCGACAACAAATGCAGGAGAAAACGACCAGTGTAGCAGCAGCCTCAGCAGCAGTAGGTCTCAATATACACAAAGGGAAGAGCAAAGTTCTCCGATACAACACAGCATGCACCGATCCAATCACAATTGACAGAGAAGATTTGGAAGATGTAAAAACCTTTACATATTTGGGCAGCATCATTGATGAACAGGGTGGATCTGATGCAGATGTGAAGACGCGGATCGGCAAAGCAAGAGCAGCATATTTACAACTGAGGAACATCTGGAACTCAAAGCAACTGTCAACCAACAAGGTCAGGATTTTCAATACAAATGTCAAGACAGTTCTACTGTATGGGGCGGAAACCTGGAGAACTACGAAAGTCATCATCCAGAAGATACAGGTGTTTATTAACAGTTGTCTACGCAAAATACTTCAGATCCGTTGGCCGGACACTATTAGCAACAACGTACTGTGGGAGAGAACAAACCAGATCCCAGTGGAGGAAGAAACCAGGAAGAAGCGCTGGAAGTGGATAGGACACATATTGATGAAAGCACCCAACTGTGTCACAAGACAAGTCCTCACATGGAATCCTGAAGGCCAAAGGAGAAGAGGAAGACCAAAAAACACATTTCGCCGGGAAGTGGAGATAGACATGAGAAAAATGAACAAGAATTGGATGAAATTAGAAAAGGAGGCCCAGGACAGAGTGGGTTGGAGAATGCTGGTCGGCGGCCTATGCTCCATTAGGAGTAACAGGCATAAGTAAGTAAGTGAGGTCGATCAACGATGCTCTCTAGCTAATCAATTGTGATCAACCTCTGAAATTGATAGAGTGAGGACAATAACCTTTTACTGCCATCAAAAACTGTCCACTTTTGCTATCGGCTTACGGTAATTTCTAATTACGAACTGCTGAAATCCCGTCTAATGCAAACAGGATCTAATAAGAACTCAATATATCGGGTGACCGATATATATAGCAGGAATAATGGACTTCGGGAGGTAGAGTAAATATCCACAAATGAATTGTGAAAACAGCAATTATGTAACATTTAAGTTCAGTACGGTGATATGAATTAGCAAAGTGCTATCGCCGTTATTTTCAAACATCAAAGCTATCATTCATTAATAAAAATATGAGATGAAGCTGGTCTTTCTATTGAATATCTAGGAATCATGCTCTTATCTTTTCTTGTTATTTCAGATATCCTGGGTGTTACAGAAAATGGCATTTTTATTATTTCTAATGAAACATGGGGAGCTTTAAGAGGTTTAGAAACACTTAGTCAATTAATGTGGACTACGAAAGATCAATCTCATGTAAGTATAGTGGTTGAATCCACTTCATTTTATTCTTCATTTTGGTTTCATTATTTACTAATTTTTAAATGACGAGTTTATATTGTTTCGATTAGTCTAAACAAATTGGAAATCTGCTATACGTAAATAGTATGGACTTATGAAATGATAGTAAAAAAGGGTAAGTTTGAATGATTAATTTAAAAATGTTATACATGGCCTCAATGAAATTCTGTTATTTGTTTACAGCCGATAGTTGCGACTATAGTTTCACCGTTTACAAACATAGAGTGTGTGTATACAAATCTATTCTGTGCATTATTATTGGCTGGGGATTTTGACCAAAATTGTTTTTAAAAGTGTATTGATTAAATTGTCAAGTAGTTAAAGAATAGGTATGTATTTTAAAGTCATTTCTATACATTTTTAAAACGTTTATAATTCTTAGGTAGTTTATTCAGATCTGTATAATTTAGAGCTGGGGTTCAGTCAGTCAATCAGCTACAACGTAGAACCAGGCTCATATATGCATCGGTCCAAGTTGTCATACCTCGTTAGCACAACAAGATGAACACCGAATACACAGAAGTAGTTAATTCAGTGGTGGTAATATATGAAAGTAAGACTGCATATAAGGATATAGTATAGGAAGAAAGAATTAGTTCGTAAAAAGAAAGATATGAAGTGATTTTAATCTCATAGTTTAAGGGAAAACAAAGAGTGTATACACCTACGTCATTGTTATCGATGTTGAGTCATGTCACACAGAGTCTTCAACCATTGGTTACGATAGTCACGCGGACCCCAACCAATTAGTCTGCGTCTCCCAACATGGCTCAGACTAGAAGTTAGTGACTTCAAGCACTGATGTCACGTTTTGATTTTACCGCTCCTAACTTTCTTCCAACCATCCCATACACTAGTCAGCATTGCGCGTCGTGGTAATCGGTGTTCAGGCATACGTAGCGCGTAGCCCTACCATCTCAGTCGATGAAGATTAACAACCTCATCAACTGATTTACCATCATTCCCTCATACCCTGCGTCTAACCTCACTGTTACTTACCCGGTGGTCCCAACAGATGCCAGCAATATTTCTAAGGCATCTGTGGTCAAATACTAGTAGCTTACGGGTGTCTTCTACTCTTAATGGCCTTGTTTCGCTGCCGTAAAGTAAGACAGAACGAACTGCCGCGCATTATACTCGTCCTTTTATTGATAGACGGATATCTCGCCTTTGCCATAGGTGACGTAAGTTGGTAAAAGCCAAACGAACTTTTCGAATCCGTGCTGAGATTTTGTCAGACATTAACCCATTAGTGCTGATCAGACTTCCAAGATAAGTGAAGTTGTCAACGCGTTCGACTACTTCACTCCCCATCCTTAGTTCAAGTGTTGGCGCAGGCATTCCAAATATCCTGGTATTGTTGCTCAGTGCTGCTAAAAGACTGCATTCTATCAGCGTCTTCACTAAACATGACTATGTCATCTGCGTATTCCAAGTTGATTAGTTAACCTCCTGGAAGATCAATTCCTGAAAATGTAGTCAACGAGAATTTTATTTCCGTCAGTATGTCTGTGAAGAAATTAAACAACAGTAACTACTAAACAAACAAATTTTCATAACCTAGATTCAGGCTTTGCTCACTGTGAATTTTAGATGTAAAAATAAGCAATTCATTGAAAAAAAGTGTATTACTGTTTATACTTATTTTCTGCACTGGTAACAAGGGTAAATCACAGTAGGAATAAATAACATATTTCTAAAATTTCTGATATGAAACATCGGTCGTTTAGGTTCAACTAAATTGGAAGTGAGACAGTAACTATCGATAACACTAAATAATAGTCTCAAAACATCACTTTATTGATTGTGGGTAAGTTTACCGCTCGATTCCTACTTAGTTGTTTGAAAGCAACATGCTCACTATGATAACTGAAGATCTTAACTGTGATGCCGTCTGTGTTCTGAAATCTGACGAACGGTCAATATGTGAATCATTGCAGTTTCTAGTTTGCAGTGCTATTCGATCTTTAGTCAGTATTCATTTACGGTCATCCTGCTTTTACCTTCAAGTTGTGAAAATTTTTTTCTAATTTCCTTTCATTACTCTTTCCCTTCCTACAGGTTTTTCTTAATCGAACGTACATCGTCGATTACCCTCGTTTCAAACATCGTGGATTAATGATTGACACTTCTAGGCATTTTATAAGCAAATCTGTTATTTTATTGAACTTGGTAAGCTTGTTTTTATACTTTTATTCAACATCATCTTCTGCTGTAAACATAGCTTACTAAATAATATAATATCTATTACAACTATTGGGAACCTAAATTCCGTGTAGCAGTACCTTAATCTGTCATATATCAGGGATTAAAAAAAGACAAAATTCTTTCTTAAACAGGAATTTTATTGTGTACCAAATATATTCGTGGAGTAATTTGAATTAATTTGATTGAGGCATGTACAACATTTTTTGCTACCACAGTGGTGTTAAGGTTGAGCGAGTGCTCACCGGGAGGCTTAAAGGTCTGAACATTGGTGTACGGGAGGTCGTGAGTGCACACTGATGAAGGTCTCCACAATAGCATGAAACAGTGCTTATTGATTTTCACTGGATGTTTAATTATAAAATTTGATAATCTCCACAAAGAATTACATCAACTGTAGAATTTAATGAATTTCTTGCGATTTATCAAATGCTACGTGCCTTCCAAATCGAATGAGTTTACTAGATCTGTATTTTAAAAGTTTATGTGTCTAATTCTCAATCACTAGTTCGTGTGTTCAAAACCGATATAACCGCTTCAGTTTATACAGTATCGATATCTCTAATCTTCACATTAAAAGTATTCTATTCATTAAGGTTCATGAAAATTTTTAAATGAGCAGGATCACAAAGGTTAAATGAACGTAAGTAAGAGTTTATACTTCGCATTTCAAAACGTTGAACATTTTATTGTCTGCTTAAATCGATTGATTTCTGAAAGATTCAGATGTTCACATTTCTAATTATAATGTCACTGAAATAAATGCTTGACATGAACTGTATTTTTATTTATTGTTTCTTCTGACTAAAACAAAATACAACTTGACAGTATCTTATCTATTCAAAATGTTCATGTAAAGCTTGCTTATTTTTGATTGACTTGTTACACTGAAATAAATTATGTATTTCCCTAGTCACTATTTGTTTAATATACTATAAACTTTGACTTTTTACAACTATTCAATTACTCCATAATATGTATTTATCTTTTAATATAAATACATGTTCGTTTCAAATGTACGATATGTTAATAATATATTGGTTAAGCGAAAGATGCACCATCATACTGATATGATATTGTGAATTACTGATAACTGAGAAATATGAAATCGGTTACTTTGCCCAAAGATCAAAAAGTATTTTTTTCAATAGTATTATAGAGCACTTACCTTCAAGTATAAATTTACATCTGCATTAAGAGGATCTTATGCAGATGTAAAGGCAAGGATTGACAAAGCAGTGGTAACATTCCTACAACTGAAGAATATATGGGACTTTAAACAACTGTCAACCAACACCAAAGCTAGAATCTTCAATACTAACATCAAGACAGTTCTGTTGTACGAAGCTGAAACTTGGAGAACTACTACAACCATCATCAAAAAAGTACAAGTAGTTATAAACAGCTGTATATGCAAGAAACTCAATGTCCGTTGTCCAGATGCCATCAGAAACAGCGTACTGTGGGAGAGAACAAACCAACTTTCAGCTAAAGAGGAACTTCGGAAAAGACACTGGATGTTGATAGTATATACATTACGGAAATCATCAATCTGTGTCACGAGGCAAGCCCTTAGGTGTGGAATCTTGAAAGCAAAAGGCAAAAGAACAGATCAAAGAACACATTGCGTCGGGAATCGGAGGGAAATATCAAAAGAATGAATAGGAATTGGAAACGGGAGCAGAGGACAGAGTTGGATGGAGAATGCATGTGGGCGACCTGTGCTCTTCTATAAAGGGTAACAGGCGTAAGTAATATTTTTTTGCATCTCTCGTGGTTGAGACGTCTTGAATTTGGTCAACAGTGGCGACCAAAATTAATTTGAAATTGTGTGTTGAACTGTAGGTTTAGTTTTAATGAAGTGTCATCATATAATTGTAAACTGATATTTACTAACGTATTTTTTTACTGGTTTTTAATGTATTTTATCCCATTCCTTTTGTAATCCCAATAACATGTCCTCCATCTTAAAACATCATAGTTTTATGTTTAGAGAAATCACAAACAATTGCAATAAGAAACTCCATTTTTTTTACATCTAATACTGAATACCAAATTGGTAGGAAAATAGTTTTTAAATCTACCTATCGCATTCTAATTAGTTTGATTTATGCTTCAATATTTCACCTTCTAAAGGAAGTAAAAACCATAGGAGTTCACAGGAATCAACCTAACCGAAATCTATCCAAAAGATGCTTGCGCCTCTTAAAAATTGATCTTATGTCTAATCAAATGATTAATCCAAAACAACATTCATGATGTAAAAGTAACCCTTTCTACTTAGTCTATTTTTCTCTCTCATTGTGATATGTTTGTAATCAGTGTTAAGAAATCAGCCTGACAACTTATTCAATTACATATTTATATTTTGTATACATTTCGTTAATATTTTGATTGTGGATATATTTTCTATCTTCTTTAGGAAGCTATGAGTTATAATAAATTAAATGTTTTACATTGGCATATTGTGGATGATCAGTCATTTCCATATCAAAGTGATATATATCCTGAACTTTCAGCCAAAGTATGTTTTGTTTGAGAATGATAAGTTTTTTGCAACTAGAGAAATGTATATGCTTTTATATATAATTAATTATCAAATAGGTAAAATGAGTCTTTTATAACTGTTGGGTAATTTTCATTACTGTGTGCAATTGTGGTGTGTGCCATTTATATGGACAGTAGTAGCAGGAATTGTAAGTAGAATTCTTACCGACAGAAAAGGAAAATGCGAAGAAAAGAAAAACAGCAGTCAATGTGACAACAGAAATGGAAGAACGATGGGGTTTGTAAGAGGCAACTCAAAGATGTGCGAATAGTGTATTTATTGTATTGTTTACTCATTTTACAAATGCAGTGTGTAATTTTGTATAATATAATTGAATAACCCTTGCACAAGTCTTCGTTCGTTAGACTTTCGGATAATGTATCATTGAAAATTAGGTAGAACTAGATAGATGTTTCATCTGTTACGAGACTACTTCGTGATGTTCACCGACCGATCTCATGCGGGACAAAAATTCTGGACCTTCGTGTCTCACAGAGGGTGAAATACCTTGGACCACGAAATCGACATCCAACCATCTACATTTTCAACTTCAATTAATTCGTAATATAACGCAATTCTTATACGGTATATAACTATTCTTCAAAAACATCGTTCCAGTCTCTCCTTATGATCATTCTTCTCCTCTTTTTATCTTGTTTTGTGACTGAGCAACGATTCGCTTTTGAGGAGAATATGTGGCTATCAGTATTTATCCACTATTGATTTCTAAAATATTACTTATAAGGTTTTAAACCTAGTGAGCGAAGTTTGCTCCTCACCCTACTGTTCTTATGTCGAATGAACTGCTGCATGTATTATCATCTCACAAATCATTGTTTTTCTCAGTCTTACCATGGCAAGTTTTCAAAATTTCAATTGCTTGGATCCTCGTTTTTTCGGTATTGTTAAAAAGGACGTGTCTGTTAGTGTTAATTAGTATTACGTCTCATGATTTGTTTGACTGTTGTCCATTGGTCATTCACCGCAGCTCCTTTTTTCACAGCAGCATACATGTAATTTCTTTAGGCTAAAATATTATCTTCAAATTAAAAAAATCGGTTAGTGAAGTTTATATTTACCGTTTGTTAATTTTAAATACTTGCGCTTTAGTTTCAGTTTTTTTTCCTTATTCATGTAACTTTTTTATTGTCCTCATAATTTATTGCCATGTACACGTGTTTGTATATCTGTTTTGGGTACTTCCAGGGTGCTTATCGAGAAGATTTAGTTTATACATCGAATGATATCAAAGAAATTGTGGAGTTTGCCAGATTTCGAGGCATTCGTGTTATTCCCGAATTCGACATACCAGGTATTGTTATTTTTTTTTAGATACATGTGTTATACCACGTATTTTATTATTAACTTATATACTGTCTCCATACACTTACTTGAAATAACATGGTTTTCAAAACTTCCTTATTGCTATCACCACCCAAATGCTTTAAATTTACATGTTCTTGTTTTACTTACCTTAAATTTTAGATTCTGGTGTTCTAAGATGTTGTTATGCAGTACTGTTCGCACTTTTTCAATTTTAAACAGATAAATACACATATTTTCCAATATCAAACAATGGAACTTCATTTTCTAACCTTAATATTTTAAGTTTTTCGAACCACTGTTGATTATTTTTCAGTATATCTGGTTTTCATTTTTCAGACTTTTTTGTATTATAATGCATTTTATCAACTCTATGGACACCTACTTTGAAGGCAACGTCATTTAAAACAAAAACGAGCATCATTTTACTTTTCCCGTGAAGTTTGAGTTTAAAAATATTTTATTGGTTGTTAAATTCAACCATGACGTACAGATTTATGTGTTGAATTGTGAAGGTCAATTACCTGTCGGTTAATTTCACATCACTATCCAAAGTTTTTAATGCATTGTATATGGAGTTTCAACATTCAGTCAGCAAATTAAACCCTTACACAATTCAGCAATAACTTTACCTTGTCCTTAAAGAGCCTGTTACTCATCAAGTAATGGAGCTAAATATACCTTGATTGATTACATTCACTTTATATTCGTCGTATAAAATTACAAGCGATTCGCTACTGTTGTTATCATCATTTAATTGTGGTTCTTTTATATTTAGTTCTTAATATAGATTAGTAAATCATTATTTAAACGACCTTCAGGACTTTACCTTCTTCCATGATAAAAAGGCTTCTAAACATTCGCTGTCACTGCAGGTTGTTCCTGATGGCATCCGGACAACGGACATTGAGTTTCTTGCATATACAGCTGTTTATAACTACTTGTACTTTTTTGATGATGGTTGTAGTAGTTCTCCAAGTTTCAGCTTCGTACAACAGAACTGTCTTGATGTTAGTATTGAAGATTCTAGCTTTGGTGTTGGTTGACAGTTGTTTAAAGTCCCATATATTCTTCAGTTGTAGGAATGTTACCACTGCTTTGTCAATCCTTGCCTTTACATCTGCATCAGATCCTTACTTATCAATTCTGCTAGCCACCTACGTAAAAATTTACATCTGTTCTAAAGCTGTCCCATCAAGTGTTTGTGCTGGTGCTCTCTGTTTTGCATTACAGGATCTTTCCTTTAACCATGTGTATGTTGAAGCCTAGTGCTGCAGAGGTTAGTGCTACACTGCCTATCTTCACATGAATATGTTGCTGTGTATGGGATAAATGATCTGTTTTAATATGATTTAGCTTGATTGTAAATACTCCCTAAAACTTAATGTTTACATTTTACATAAAATGGATAGGTAGTGGCAAACAGTGTAATCCAATTTATATATTTTTTCATATAACGGACTCACCATCTAGGGTTTTACCTGCATCCCAGTGTTGGTGCTCTTATGAATAATCGAAATCAATACCAGTACTGTTTTCTGAAAACGCCATCGTGTTATTCACTTAACTACTGCGTCCAAATAATCAGTGGCTTGTGCAATGGAGTTGAATTTTAATTCCTGTATATTGGTTATATAATTCTTCGAATTGAACTCTGTCCAACTGTCTATGGAGCTCCACTACTTATTCTGGTGCTTTTATGGCGCCCAGCACCTCCTGACATGTTGAAGTTATTGCTTCTTTAATCGCTTCCCAGTTGTTCTCCATATTGTTTTCCTTTTCTTCCATTAGATGTTGTAAGATCTGAAATTGTCGCTGAGATTTATCTTGAGATTCACGAGCTTGTTAGCATCTCGAATGCAACTTGTTCAACTGTCCAATGATGCTTCAACCTCAGTTTTAGCTGGACGATTATCAGATTGTGATGTGAAGCTCCTCATATCAGCTCCCCTCTGTACTCCTATTTGTTTGATGGACCTTATGATCTTGTTGTTGATTGAGATGTGATGGATCTGGTCCTCTGTTGTGCGGTACAGTGAAAGCAAGGAAGCTTTATGTATGCGTTTGTGTTCGGAATTGGTGCCACCTATAACCATGTCGTTGAAAGTACATGGATATGCAAGTCCCTCACCATTCTGGTTGCTTTCTCCTATTCCATATTGTTCCATGACATCTTCTTACCCGTCGTTTTCCATACTGACATCCCCGTTCATATCTCTTATGGCGATCGTCAGGTGGCTTCGTGGTTACTTTTTTACGATCTACTTAAGCTTCTCATAAACCAATTTTCATCACCTTAGCTGTTATATGATATTCAATCCCTGCGTTCTTCGTTTTGAAGGATGCTTTGTTGGTGTTGAATATATGAAATTCCTATCCCATAAGTAGGTTTTATGCTTTTTTTGAAAATCATCAGTGCAACTCTTTGTTTGTGCGATGCATTTTCTTTATTACCCGATTAGAATAGAGCCTCTCAGTTAATCTTTTCTGTCCAGCTTACATACGTGTTTCAATTATTCTGAGCATCGCCAGATCTCCCTGATTGGTCCTGTCGGTCTCTTACATTATGCAAACATTCAACCTGCTTGTCTTAAATTATACTGTGATTGTTAGAACGGACATTGAGATCGAGATTGCCGAAGAATCTTGGCTTTCACCATGAGATCTCATATCTGTTCTAAATGAAAACCTCTCAAGTGTCAGAATACAGTCTAGGTAGTTAGAATTATTTTCTACGGGATGGAGCTGGTAACTTCATCCGCAAACATTCTCCTCTGTCCAGGGTTTGGACCGGTCGTAACCGTAGAAGTGTGCAGGTGGAGTTACATCTGACACTTCTGTTTGAAAAAAAGATGAATTTGCTCAAGAGAACTGTTATTTCCAATGAGAAAGTGCTTCAAATTTATTGTTCTGTACCATGCGATCATGATAACATTGATAATTGAAGTAGATAAACAGAGCACTGGTTTCCTAAATACTTTTTAATCACATGGACAAACAAATACACATTTTCACTTTGAAAATACTAATAAAAGAATTTGATTAATTCAGTGTATGCAGAGTTAATCGATTTAAGTTTTGTAGTTTTTTAATAAGTTATTTAATTATCAAATGAGTAAATCATTGATTTTTGAATAAATCTTTATTACCTCCTCCCTTGTTTGCAATTCTAATCAATTAAATCTCTGCAAAATCACATATGTAGGTAATAAGTGTGTTTCCGCTAGTAACTGGCTTTAAGATGAATTTTCAGTATTACAATAAAAGGTCCTGACTGCTATATTGTATGATGTTGAATGCAAGGTATTAATTCACCAATATCAGTGATTAAAGTTAACCCCATGTCATCGCTTGATCAAAATTTAAAATGTAATTAGTTTAAATTTGTCAGGTAGTTTGCAATTATGACGCCGTGTGTGGTCCTAGTATCTTAGTTTTCATCATTACTTGGCTTGTGTTTATTCATTATTGAGTATTAATAGCAAATTAGGTCGACTTGGAAATCTCGCACTACATTTTTTATCATCTCATGATGAAAATTATTTGTATTATTGCTACGAGTTTATGCATTGCGTCAAACAATCTAGGTCATATGCAGACAATCTGCTCATGATCTGCACAAATGCTTATAAAAATTTATCAATTCCTGCTTTTTGTATCTGTTGTGACTTTAGGCCCGGTTAGTTATGACGTGATTTATTCGCTGATCGAATTATGACTTATACAATCTTAGTACTGTGCTAAGTAAATGACGTTCTATCGGTATGAACAGCCTAGTGTCCTTATTGGTTCTATGTTCGCCTAGCCCATCCAGTTGAGTCCGTAACGTCAATAACAGCCTCTACTATGCGGACCATTTATTTCAACGTAATTGGTTTATATACCAGCCAAACAGACCGCATCATACCATAAAATAGGAAATAAAATTTATATAAGATCAAGCCAAGAAGTGGCTATGAACGTGGGAGACTGTAATCAATAAATTGAACATAATTTAAAAATAAATTGTTCAAAAATAGATCAAAATTAAGCTTATAATAAGAGGGATATAGATATATGTAATCTAGTTACTGAATAGTTATACAAAATTACGGGTAACTTCTAAGAATTATTAATGCACTAGTATATATATATATATATATATATATATATATATATATATATATATATACTAGTGCATTAATAATTCTTAGAAGTTACTCGTAATTTAATCTTCACTAGACTATAACAGTATCAACAGCGGGAAAACTGAAAGCCTCGGATTTATAATTTGGGTGTTCGTTTTCCTTATTTGTAATATTGGCGCATCACTTTATAAGAATATCTCCAGCTAGATTTTAATAAGTTTCCAATCAGTTTAGTCTTTTTTGAAAAGCTTATTCTCATTTGATAGTCTGTAAGATGTATCTGTAAAAATAACTGCAATGAATATTTAAAAGCTTACCATAATTAAAGCTCTTGTTCTCTTTGCTGAACTGTTAGTTGAATTATCCTCTAAAACAGTTTTCATCTCAACCTGTTCTAATATTTGGTGTTCAAATCAAATATATTTAATTCGATGATTTTTGAAAATATCATTAACTTAATGTGTTAAACCTTTGTGAATCAACTAACTTCTATCTCTTTCAGTATACCGTACATAATTCGGTCAGTACAACTGTTTGAATGTCATATTAGATGTTATTTGTTATAAATGAAGTTAATTTATATGACTTTTCACTCATCAGAATTTATTAGTTAATAGTTTTGTGTTTTTGTTTTGCTTCTGTAAACTCCCGTAGGTCATACTCGAAGTTTGTCACTTTCTCATCCAGAAATTATGTCAAAATGTCAATATGATTATAAAAATCTTGCATATTACGGCCCACTCAATCCAGCTTCAAATAAAACATACGAGCTTTTAGAAAATTTATTTAACGAAGTTTTTCAATTATTTTTAGATGATTATATTCATCTGGGCGGTGATGAAGTAGAAACAATATGTTGGTTAGTTGTTAAATACTCTTTAGTTTTTTCGATTATTTTCTTCTAAAACAACGTTTCTGTCAGAAAAGCTTATACCTTCTATAGATCAGCTTTTTATCCATAAGTAATCAATTGTTAGATAGTTGGTGGTAATCGAAAGGAAACCCTGGACCCTATGTTTTTGCTATTGGTACTCGTTGACAAGGGGTACCTCTAATCTTGAGGGAATTGATAACCTCTATAAGAATTCAAACCCGCTTCAAAGTCCTAGATATTTCCTCAAGATTACTACTTTCTAGGACGGACCGTTTGTAAAAATCAAAAGAAACGGAGCAGTTTATGGGGTAACTGTAATCTTCGAAGAAAAGTACTGATTGCTATTTTTATAATTTCGTGTTTAACTTTCCACACTATGGGTTACTTTCAATGTGTATTTATTCAATTGAACTTGCTGTTATATTGATAAAACCTTGAAACAAAAGTTAATTTGGATGATTAGCTAAGTTGCCATCATTCTCATGTACACATACAAATTGTTAAATCCAATCGATGAGATATCGTTATATCGAAATAGTAAAGTTTATCTGCAAGCGTTACGGATCGGGATCACAATCAGAGATATTACTAATTTACTATTTTAATTGTGTTTAGTTTTCTGTAGGACTAAGGTGTTTATAATAATCGTTCATTAAGTATTAGGCAATGTTATGTTGTTTTTAAAAAATATAAATACTCTAATATCTTCACATGGCTGGTTATTTAAGTACTAGTCTTTTACTTTTTACTGTTGTTAGTATATACTGAAGTATTTCGCAAAAAATATTAAGAATCCTTTGCCTTTCTTATTTCTCACACATACATTTTTAAGTTTTCTTTTTTTGTTACTCAACACTGAAATCAGTCAGTTAGGGATACGCAATGTAGGACCTGTCACATATGTGGATCGGTTCAAATTGCCACGCCATATCAACACAGCAAGACGAGATTATCTAGACCAGTCCCAGATTAGTAGAAGTAGTAGCTACATCAGTGGTAGTCGAGAAGCATAGCGGTAGATAATATGATATGAGGATGAAGAATGAATTTGTAGGTTAGAAAGGTATGGGATAATTTTAAAGCTAAGATTCATAGAAAGGCAAAGAGTAAATGCATTTGTACTGATTCTGGGGCATGCTAATTATCGTATCCAATTATTCTTCGTAATAACCGTCTGCGCTCTGACTAAGTAGTTTGGATATGCCAACACAACCCAATCTAAAGACTTGATATGCTAATCGATATCACGTACTAAGGTCACCAATCAGGATTCTGAATAAAGTTCTTTCTATCCCCCGTCTACTATTACCTTTAAAGTAGGTGTCATTACCAAGGTTTGATTTGATAATTTCGAATAAATTAAGCATTGGGTTCATTGTTATAAACAAAAATAATATATTACCTTTAAGTCTGNTGCTCGTACTGGTTTGTGCGTCATTGGTCTGGTCATATAAGTCGATGTTCTAATTGGCGAATAAATCACGCGATCATTAACAAAGCCATAATTCATGGCATAAAGTTCAGACAATCATTCCGAATCACATTGTGTACTCTTATTTAACCGCAGTTATAAACATGAAATACTACATTTTTAAGGATTGTCCTTATATACTTATCTTCAAAAAGAAAATTTATTACTGATCAAATAAAAGTAGCAACACAATCAACAAAACCGTAAACATGGCATATAAATGCGAAAATACTAAATAAATATCCTGAAAAAAACCCAACAAGTTGTATAGAATAGTACTTGTGTGGGAATAAAATACATGTACAATTACAAATGTTAATGTAACCTAATGTTAAAATTGATGGTTCTCATGGATTGTAGAAAATATTTATACATATGTCGATCTTTATTGAAATTACATATATAAATACATAATACTGATCAGATTTCACTATGAAAGACTGATAATATTAACAATAATTATAAGGTAAATTAGCAATTATAAGAGGGAATAAATAGAAACCTGTTGCGTGTGAGAGAGAATGACTAGATTAACGGAGCGCTCTGAGAAGAGTGGGTTCTGAGCTGATGATCGATTAATTGGTACTCGAATATTTATATGAATAGGCTAAAGAATGGATCTCCAGAAAAACAACATCTTCAGAGATAACGAAAATATCAACACAATTATTTTAAATGACAAAAAAGAAAATTAAACAGTTGAAAAGTTATTTTATATTACACATCCACATCTTATGAGCAAGGGAAAAAAGTAGGTAATGAGAATCCACATAATACGATTAGTTTGTCATGTAAAATAGTAAAACAACATAGAAAAAACCCTGTTTGTAGTTGAAGTTTAAAAAAATAATTAAAACCGAGATTTCATACATTTTAGATAAATTGTTTACAACTTAAACCAACTCTGTGTATATACAGACAGCATTACGTGAGCCTTACTACAACTAATTCACAACAAAAAAGGAGCGAGATATATAAAAAAACACAATAATGTCAAGGAAGTAGGTGAAATGCAACGAAATCACAACTACACATAATTAGGAAAAAATACCAACATTGGAATCAAAAAGAAAACAACATGACTAACAATTTTACGATTGACCAAACAAATAAACAACAACGAAAGACAACAAGAAATAAAATTACCCACAATTTATTTGTGTTTAGGTAATAACTGAAACGGATATCTAGTACTTTAAAGAAGAAAATTCAAAATAAACATCCTGAAGCATTACTGACTTGGTTTTCAATGGCTGTACACACGTTTACAACTGTACAGGGAATACTATAGGTTGGTGGTTTGATGGTCCAGTATCACTAGAAATAGTTGTTACAGCAGATATTAGAAATCGACTAAAAGGTTGTCCGTGAGCAGCACAAGTTAATTGGGGTAAATTAAGCAAAGCACCAGAACGTGAACTATCTGGTGTATGTGAACCAATCGAAATAGTATGATTAGGATCAATTGACTTATGTTTTAGATGATGGTGATGTTGAAGACGAGAGGATGTTTTTGAACGTCTAGAACGTTTCTTAAATAAATCATAAGTAGACTGTTGATGAGGATTTCTCTGTAGATATGCTTGAGTGTCGTCATGATGAGACTTTATTTCTCTAAAAAAAATAGTGATGAGATTTTCGATCACATGAACTACCGCTACCGGTAGTAGTAGTAGTAGTAACTGAACTACGACCAAGATTCTCTACTTGAAATAAACTGGAATTTTGTGAAGATAAAGGTCTGTACATGTTACCCAAATAAAGGATACCGCCATTCAAGCTAAGGTCACCGCCATGTGATATAGATTCTATAGGCGTATTAGTATGTAATACTGACTGTACTCCATTTAACTGTTGATTACATATTCCGATACCACTTCCATTCCCTGAAGTGTTATAACACATTGTAGGAACTGATTGATCACGTCCTGACTTTACAGATTCACGTGGACCACCGCCAGTTGTCCCAGTTCGACTGCTACTTGCTGTTACAATGCTCGCAGGGGGGACATTAAATGCCCCATAGGGTGGTAGTGTATAATACAATGGATCTGTGGGTCAGTGAGAGAAGGAATAAGTAGAAATATCCGAGTTTAAAGTAAGATAATTACATAACTGACTGACCAAAATAATGTAGAACTTGGAAAAACAGCACATTAGTTCAAACAGTCTCACTTTCTAAAAAGAGTGGTGGTTTATACTATGAGTTTCACGACGTTAAATGTTACCATTACCTGGCAGAAGATCAAAACATTGTTACGTAAATCGGAATAATAATTCCCAAGTTGTTTATTCAGTATATAGTTCATGCTGTTTCACGCTATAGTATACTTTTCGAATCATCCTTTACTATTCCAAGTCAGTCTCATTTGTTACGTAAGCCCAACAGTCGCCTACCTGGACGAACAGTGTTGTCTATTGTAGGAATATATTTAAAGCTATGAGCAGCAAAACTAGGATGTGGTACAAGCCCATGAATTCACTGACAACTGGACTGAACCATGCAAATAAATTTAAACCAACTCAGTTGGTCTACGTCTTTTGGCAGCACTGAGCAACAATACCAGGATGTTTGGAATATGTTTCTCCCCCTCTAAATGCAAGTTGTTGCCTGTGTCAACACTTAAACTAAGGATAAGGAGTGAAGTAGTCGAACGCGTTGACAACTTCACTTATCTTGGAAGTCTGATCAGCCCAAATGGGTTAATGTCTGACAAAATCTCTACACGAATTCAAAAAGCTCGTTTGGTTTTTACCAACTTACGTCACACCAATGGCGAAGGCGAGATATCCGTCTATCAATTAAAGGACCAGTGTATTGTGCAGTAATTCGTTCTATTTTACTTTGCGGCTGCGAAACGTGATCATTAAGAATAGAAGATACTCTTAAGTTAATAGTATTTGATCACAGATGTCTTAGGAATATTGCCAGCATCTTCTGGGATTACCTGGTAAGTGGTAGTGAGGTAAGACGCAGGATATTAGGGAATAATGGTAAATCAGTTGATGAGGTTGTTAATCTTCATCGACTGAGATGGTCGGGTCACTCGTTTTGGAGATGGATGGAAGAAAGTTAGGGGCGGTCAAACCAAAACGTGGCATCAGTGCTTGAAGTCACTAACTTGTGGTTAGAGCCAGGTTGGTAGATGCGGACTACTTGGTTGGGGCCCGCGCGACTATCGTAACCAATGGTTGGAGACTCTGTGTGACATGACTCAGCATCGATCATAATGGCATAGGTGTATACACTCTTTGCCTTCTCTTAAACCGTGAGATTAAAATTGCTTTGTACTTTTCTTTCTACGAACTAATTTTTTCTTCCTGTATTATATCCTTATACACAATCTTTCTCCTATATATTACTACCATTAAAGTAACTACTTCTATGCATTTGGTGTTCAACTTGTGTTAATAAGATGTGGCAACTCAGACCGATGTATATGTGCCTTGTCCCACGTTGTAGCTGACTGGTTGATATAGACTAACTAGTTAGGGTTCGCGTGATTATCGCATGGCTTATAGTCGTTCACAATGGTCGAGGTACATTCACACCTTGTCTTCCCAGAGTCCCGAAATCCCCTTATACCATTTTTTTTCTCATTTCTATATTTAATCTTTTTTTTCTACTACTACTACTGATACTGGTACTACTTCCAGTACTCTGGTATATGTCTTGAAATGTTTTTATCTCCCTGTGTCAATGTAGTATAGCGACTTGAAACAATGCACATTTGTCAGTTTCTACGTTGTTTATGATGATAATGAGAATCTGATAAATATGTACATCAGTTAAAATTCCCATAGCCCATTAGAAGAGAGAGGTGAAATTTCCAGGACAAATCCTAGAGTATCCGAAGTAGTAACAGTATTAGTGGTAATATGAAGGATTATGCATTGAAGATATGATCTGAAAAGAAAATATTGGTGCAAATGAGGTAACCGCTGGAAAAATTCATTTAAAATCATACTTTATGATCCTTGATTGAGAAATCCCACACACTAATGGGGAATAATGATGAATGACCCGACACCATCGAAGCTAATCAGTTGGTTCTATTAGTCAGTAGATATCGTGCTAATGAGCACATGCCATATTAATCATATATGGATAGCCCATAAGTTCGAATCGACTACTTTGTGTCGTTTCCTTGTTGGTGAAGGTATTGATCTTGAATTTCAAACATATTGGTCTAATATATACCGAATATGATTATCAAGAGGCGTGTTAGTATTAAATATTCTCTAAGTGCATAAAATTGAACTTATGCATCATTTTCACTCGTCTAACATTGTTTGCCTTGTACTTTCAGTTACAGTTTGTTTTGTTACAATTACAGGAAAACAGAGAAAATACAATAACTGAGAATAAATCATGCATAACTTAAAACAATTACCTCTTCCGTAAGTGCATGGACTGCCTAGGGCCCCGTGAATTAGAGCAGAAGGAGGCCCTAATTGACCATTTTGAAGATCATATACTCTGGCCGAATCGTTATTAGTTATTGAATAGGAGTCACTACCATGATGACCAACAGAAACAAAATACTGGGATCGCATAGTTTCATTGGGAGGATTTAACAAACGATAATACCTATCTAACAGTGGTAGCTTCAAAGGAGTTTTGGTACAACAGTGTAATCGGGATTCTTTTTCTGTAGTCATATTTTGGGATGATGTCAAATACTGATTGAACGTTTGGTGATGTTGGTTAGGTGCATTACAGTTACGTCGTGAAAAGCTTCCCTCCCTTGTCATCAATATGTCTGAAGGAAAGGAAGCACTCTGTTGCCAATTCCTAGCAATCTTCTGTTGATCACCGTCTATATGAGATATCAAATCTATACGATCTGATAACTGTGACTGTGCACCAGCATTGACGGACACTACACCTAGATGCTGTGATCTAGAATAACCATAATTATTATTTGCTGCAGTTATAGGACGACTAAGAGTATCTAAAAAAATTCCACCATTTCTAAACGCAAGTCTATTATTTGAATACTGATTATTATATGTTTGATTCATTAGACAACAACGATGACAACAACATATCACAACTCCAATACCCAATATAAGAATAACAATTGTACTGACAGCTAAAGCAATAGACGCCGGCATACGAAGTGACAATAAACCTGATAACCAGCTATTAACATCAATCAAATCACCATTAGCAAGTAGTGGACTGTTTGAATCTTCCATATCTTTATCTGGGATAGAAAACAAAACGTGAAAAAGATTTTTTCAACAAATAAATTGACAATGGTTAACAGAAAACGAAATGATTACATAGCGGATGCAATTTCGCCGTTCAACTACCTTATAATTTGACTGTTATCGTGGGAAACCTTTCAAATACTGTTTTATCTTATCAATGGATTAAACGCTCGATCCACATGACATGAACTACAATATTACTTGAGTTTAAACACATTCAAACGGCGGTTAATCATATGCAACTTAAAACCTGGCACATATGTACATCGATTCAATTCGAATTACAGTAGCTCCCACAGATGAATTTCATCATTAAACATGAAGGACTGGTTGTTATATATTTCCTGCTGATTCTTTTAACAGTTGAATTGGAACAGATCCAACAATAGTATTTATACAGAGAATGATAAACAGTCAACTTACACCAAATATAAAAGCGATTTTCCAAGATGAGAAGAATATAAATGTTTAAATATTGTACTGTATACCATATACAAAGCTATCAAGTGGTGATGTGAACTGTATACATTATTGGTTTCTTTCTTAGATAACAGGCACTGATCAGTAGAATAGTAAAGTTACATTTAAGTATTTTTCTTGTTTGTGAGTGAAAACAAAAAAATGCTATTATGTAAACAGGTATAGTGTGATTATCGGCTAGTGAGTAATTGATTATCTACTTTTACATTAAACTAACACTTGAGAAAATCAACATGGAAATATGTGATAACACCTATTAATAATTACATTTGTTTCCGAGGTTTTAGTAAAAGGAGAGCCAAATAACAACGTTAATAGATGTTAGTTACCACCCAGTAAGCAAAAAAGACATCAATGAAGATGACTTATTAGTTAACATGGAAACTTGTAATTTCACTGAACATACCAATAAAAGCTTTACAATGAGAAATATCTTCATCTTTCCTATTTTCACAGTTCATAATACCATCGCATAAACTCTTCTTTGTAATACAATATTCCACATATTGTTTATCATGATTAGGTGGAAATTTGTCGTCATCTAAACTACGGATATATTGAGGAAGAGATGAGAATGGTCCAGACAACCGGCTATCTGCACTAAGTGAAGTTGATGTTATCATAGAATTTGCCCCCATGAAACGAGGAACTGCACCGCAGTAAAAGTTGCTTGATGGACAACTACTATTTCGAGCTGTGAAAATGAGAAAAAATAGTTTATAAAGTGGTGTAAATGAATATTACGAAAAATGTTTTGTTTCCTGAGATTTTGAACAGACCTTGTCAAAAAGGACGTTTAGGAATTCTTAAAATATGGATAGAAACTCAAATTTTGATGGTCAAGGACGACAAGTTGGAAAATGCACCAATCATTAGTGACTTACTAACTCGATTTTTAATTATCTGTCTTGGCTTTGTTACAATGGTTTTTTAGTTAGGGTAGGAAGTAAATTCGGATAAATCCAATTCGAATTGAGTTACTGTGAATCGGTGAGTTGAATATTATCAAGATTATCCAGTATGTGACGTTTTGGTTAAGTGGTTAATGCAACGGTTCCTGATAGTACAAATCCGAATATAATTTGAATTTGATATCACTTGCTAAGCTGCATACCGGAGAATCTTTTCGTCCTGCAGTAAGTTATATTTATCAAATCAAACTAAGTAAAAATGTGCTTCGCACTGAGTACAATGACAGAAATTCAAAACTAGTAATGTTGCTGATATTCGGCAGAATACTACATTTGAAATTATATACGCTAGGTTATAACAGAAACTCTTCGGTAGTCCATTCGTAAAGAAGTATCACCTGATCCAAATTAGCACACTGTCAGTACAGGAAGAAATTACCAAGAATAAAGTCAAAAGATTTTAAATAATGATGATATCAATGGTTCTAAAAGAATAAACAAAAGGAACCGTGGAGCAAATAGGAAGCTATCATTTCGCGGTACTTTCTAGGTTGCGACATGTATTTAGGATGGGTTAATAAATTTCAATGAACTACATTTTTAATATCGCACTTGATGGTGTAACCAGACGAATGACCAAAACATCCTACATTTAAATGGGATTTATAAACTGGAAGTATATTCTCGGGCATTCAATGCAACTAGCTACTAAGTACGAAATTGTACTATTCGGAAAATAAATTGAATATTTCAAGTGCGAATAACCACTTCCATATTAACGTAGCAATTCTACACAACTTTGTGTAAAGCGCATCAGTATTTGAGAGTTAAATCACCAGTCTTTGTTCTCACGTCAAATTATACAGGTGTTATCAGTTGACAACTAATTACAAGAGGAATTTCATGGAGTAAAGTGTATCAAAGATGTATTAGTAAGTTATCTTAGCAGACTTACTTTCTTGAATTGCAGTAAGAATAACTCGAAATCCAGGTTTCACACCGGGTAAAATGGGAGGTCGTTGAAATGAGGTACTGAGAACAAGATAATGTGAATTATTTTAATATGCCAATGTAAACAAGTTAAATTGGGACACGCCTGAGATAATATATTTGAGTAGGGTTGTGATGAGAAGCAAAACCTTTCTAACAAATAACCAAGTACTCTACCAATAAAAATATATGAACCGATTGGAAACCAAGTCTTTGTTACACTCGAATGGCTGGGAATAGTGTTTGGATCTACGGGTTAATTTTTATTTCGTTATATTTACAATTTTTAAAAAAATCACCTCGCTTCACTCAAAGAGATTGCATAAGAACGACGAACTGATAAACAATTGAACCATAGTGCTGTAGGTCAGTTGTTATAGGGTTAGCCTCAGTTAGTATACTGCAAGTTCAAAATCACTTCGTCTACTTCAAATAAGAGGAGGGAAAGTAGTATAAATTTAGCTCAATAGACTAAGTATAATGGTGCACATCTGGTAACTGAGTTAGTTTGTTATTTAATTGTTGCGACTGAGTTATCTTTGATGCCTACAGCCAGTGTTCTATGAAACTGATAGTGATTAAACAGTTTATATATACAATGACTTACTGGAAAGCTAAACATATGTAGGACTTTGTCGTAAATATAAGATACTTCGGATAATTCGGTCCACATAAACCACGTTCTCCACCAGCTTCTTTCTATAAAAGATAGTATGTCTAAAAAGCTTGTGGAACATATATGTAAAATATTTGGATTTATTGATGCAATAAGTGCGAATTACACAAAACACAAGTTAACACACACAAGTCCTCGTAGTCTACAAAATAAAACGATCAAGTTAAGCTTGATGATGAAAAAATTAAGACCCGATATAACTGTTGTTATGAAGAGTGGCTCATCGTAGATGTAGATTGTTCTCCAATTATTGCAGGGGTCAACTGTATTATAAGTAAGAGTTATACATCGCAAGGGAGGAGACATAATATTACATGTGTGAGACCACTTTCGTGTACAATCGAGTATATCAGAGACGCACGATAACGATATACGTGAAGCAGATCGTTATACAATTAAATCTAGACACGGAGTAGTGACCACGTTATCTTGCCGAAGACTTTGTCTCAAGTCATATTTGTATATGGAGTTAGGCTGACTGTTGTCTCATTTCTTATTAACCTTAAGCCTAGTAAGTCACCCGATCCTGATGGGTTACACCTACGATCGCTGACAACCCTATTAAACACTATTTGAGGACCACTCAGGAAACTATTTAACGAAATATTTTCGACTCCCCATGGATTGGAAGGATGCACATTTAACATAGTAACAGTTACCAGTATACTAACAATAGCATATCGCTTACTGGAACCCCTCACCTGAACCAGTTGTATTAGCCTTATCAGTCAATATCTTCAAGGAGAAGCTGGATTTTCACTAAAGAACAAGGTACACGGATCAACACAAATTCAACGACCTATTATTCTAACTACTGAAGACTGAACACACCTTAGACAAACGTTCTACGCATATTTGGGAGCAATAATAGAAATCAGTTTACAAGACTTACCATAGCCTTGGACGTTGCTGTATTAGAATCGAATACATATAAGTAATTCTAAACACAATTGGGAGTCTTAGAGGGGACATAAAATTCCTCAATTTTCATCATAATTCTGACACTCTCAACCGGTGAATGCACAACAAGCTCACACGAGAAGTTGCGTGGATAAGAAGTCGTGTTATGAGATAATACAACCATACTTCCTTCAAGATTATCAACTTGCAGGAACTTTGTAACGGGATGGTGTAAGAGGAAATCCTGGTTAGGTAAGACACGTAAGTCGCGGGAGAGAACATCTGAAATTTAAAGGCAACAACAAAATGGAGAGCGTTTTCGGATATAAATTCATGAATCTCACTTTTTAAGTTGATATGAAATGTCCCAAACAACCAATTAAGGGGAAATAAAGGCGAACATATGGAAAATAATGGGGAAACGCGCAAAAGTGTCTGCTTTTTTAGCCCGTCCGGGAAAATAACGCAGGTTTCCCACTTTTTGTCTCTCTGTCTCCCAAATGTCGCCGAATTGTCTACTTTTCGCTTGAGCTTTTTATAGATTGGAAAAGATAAAAACCTTGTGACTGCGTGAATGAAAAAATTTAAAATTTAAACGTCTTATCGAGATAGTAGTCAATGACAACTCACAAGTAATTTGGAGATGAACAAAACGAACAGTAGCCTGAACGAAAACTAAAATCTGTAACCTCATATTCTGTTTTACCCGCTATTCAATATAAGTAAATACGTATATATATTTGACCATCTATTACTTGATATCAATTTAGAATTTATCGTAACAATTAATAAACTGAAGAGTATTTTGCTTTTAATAGTGAAGGTCGTCAAACGTCCCTGTTTCTGGCCTGAGGTAGGCGGGTTTTCGATTTCCTTCGGCGTGAGTCATGGGCTTTCAAAATTTCAGAGGGAGGGGAGGTGGTTCACGTGGTTCCCAGGGCGGTTTTCGAAGAGGCTCCAGAGGAGGAGGATTTTCTGATAAGTTTCAAAGTGGTCCACCTGAAGAGGTTGTCGAAGTTGGAGTATTCGCTCATCCATGTCAAGAAGATATTGTCTGTAAAATCACATCGGAAAAAATACCTTACTCAAATGCTCCTGTTTATTTGGCGAACAAAGAAGAAATAGGCAAAGTCGATGAAGTTTTTGGCCCAATTAAAGATGCAGTAGTGTTTTTAATTCTTTTACCTAATCCATTTGACTAGTACTTTTCAATCAAACTTTCAGATACACTTAAAAGTAAATCTTTTCAAGAAGGTGTTAAGGTATTCATTATTATCCAGATCATGTGATATTTTGTAGTTTTTTATGGATCCTGCCAAGTTTCTCACACTTGATCGCGTGATGAACCCGAATTCTAGTAGAGGTGAGTTGACTGTAAAATTTATTCTAACTGTAGCTTTGTATGTATCGCTAATCGTTCGCTTTAAGAGGCACGAACTAATAGGAATTTATTCTTGAACACTGATATTTAGTTAAATCTTCAGTCATAAGCATAATAAGACTAAACTATCAGTGCGAAATGAGCGATTTTTCATTCAATTAAGATACAGCTAAAATTAGTGATTGGCATTATGTTAGTGAATTAGGATTTTCGCCCTTCATAGACTAGCCGAAATGCCATCTCAAAAATGACTTACAACTGCGACCGTAGTCCTTGATGCCATATCTTAATTACGATGCCAAATCCCATACTTTGTGCTATTACTGTTATAAACCGTGATATTGATTAACCCGTTATTCTTCGTTGGTTTGAATTTATATTTCTATCACTTGAAATATGTCATTTTTTCGAGTTTTAATATTCGTAATGCAGTCGGTGGTCAGTAATTCCTGAGAGAGATCTTTCACAAACATACTGTTTTGGTGTTGGTTCTGTGACATTGAATCAATTAGTGATCAGGTTATTTAACTGTCAGTATTATATGTTGATATGCTTGTGACTGTGTGAAAATGACATAAATTAGTAAAACATTGTTCAAAATAACGGTATTGCAGTTTCAGAATAATTATGGCTTACTCGTAACCTAGTTGTTTCTTGCGTGTATAATACCCCACTATACTGTGGTTTTGTTTTTAGACTGAAAATTTAATCGCACATCATGAAGTGTTTCCTAGATTGAGTCAATTGATTTCTTATTATTGTTTTGTTTATTTGAACACAAACATTGTTACAAGGGGGCATCAATCTTTCTCTTATATATTACCACCTTTTACCTAACCACTGTTATGAATCCGGTGTTCATCTTGTTGTGCTGATGCGGTATGGCAACCTGGACCGATGCACATAAGTGCATGGTTCTACGTTGTAGCTGACTGACTGACTGACTGCATCAAATACGTATGCGCCACACATTAACAGTGAGGCCAGTATCCGTTAACACTGATATATTTAAGGGCTTTGATACCGTCCGAGGGCCTATGATAAAAAGTATGTCGTATCATTATGATTTTGTTTGGTGATCACCTGTGCCCCTAAATCCCCTGGTACGGCCGAGAGTGGTGAGAGTCCGCTCTCCTACTCCAAATACTCTCACATGGTCACGCGTATATAGCCTCTGCCAGGGAAGTCCTGCGCACTACCTTGTGGCGGATTTGTTGTTTTCGAAATTAAGGGGAAGAAAAGCGAATGTCCGGCGCTTTAACTAGGTTGGTGGACATGGAGAGTCCAGCCAGGGGAGTTGGAAAATCCTTGTTCCAAACCAATAGTGCACATGGGCTACAGTATCCTGAAGGAACAAATGGCGTCTGAACCAACCGTTGGTCACCGGCTACCATGAGACTGCATCTCCTTACGATGCTCCACTGCCTTGTGGATCAGACCTTCAAGTCGAACGCTCGGGGTGTGGCCCCCTCCGAAAACCACCTGCTTCGGTTTGAGCACCCGGGCAGTATCACAGCTCACACAAAAATAGAATGATTTGTGTACCACATATGTATCCGGTGCCCCTTCGTACCAATATTTATGTGTTCAAATAAATAAATAAAATGAACTGCTGAATAAAAGAATCCATTGTTTTTAGAACGGAATCCTTTATTTTCTCAGGTTTTCCGTCTCAATCCTTGTGTCATCTATCAGAATGTCAACTTTATATGTGTACAACCTATCGTAAACTTGTTTGTTTGACGGAACAGTAAAAAAATGAAGCTGATATAAGGAGTGTGATGTATTCACCCCATACATTTCGAACAGTCTGGTCGAGACACTTTGTATGTAAACTAAAGAAAATTCAATTTTCGTCTTCAGACCTTTCTTAGATATTTTTAAAAGTACTTGAATACTGAATTTTTTGCATACCCTATCACGTGAGGAACATTTATAAGTTCTTTTATCTACTAGTTTTAAATTCCTAACTTACGAAGTCATATAATCACCAAATTACTTTCTTAACAATAGGGAAAAGAGGTGGTCGTGGTCGTGGTGATCAAAGAGGTGGTCGGGGCGGACATGATTTTTCACGTGGTCGAGGAAGAGGGGATTTTCGGGGTGCTCGTGGCGATTTCCGAGGAGGACGTGGTGGTCCTCGTGGACGGTGGAGTGATGGAGGTGGTCACAGTAATCGAGGCGGATTTCGTGGTGGGAGGGAAATGAATGGTCAGCGTGGTGGTGAACGTCATTCATTCGGAGGAAAACGAGGCGCAAATTTTTCTGCATCTAATGCACCACAAAGTAAAAAATTCAAATCAGAAGACTAATTCACTGTTTTTGTATGATAAAACTTTTACCTGCACTGCTTTTCTTTTATGCGAAATCTCGTTCTTGTGCTACAAGTCATTTATTTAAGATCACTTTTTCCTCTTGTTGGACTACTATGTCTCTATCCTTGAACTGGTCGGTATTTCTATGTTTATGGTTTTCAAAAAGCATTTCTTAAACCTCGTCAAGTTATTTATGATAAAACCTAGTCGTCCTACGATGAGTACATATTTATTGATTATAAAAATTGTTTGTTGCAAACAAAGTTTGCTTGCTTGTTTATTAATTCTGTTTAAAGGTCCTGGAACGATGAGAAGGGTCCTATTGCTAGCCTATTTCCAAAGTACCTCAACAAGCTGGGTTTTTTAAAGTAGATCAGTTCAACTTCATACATAAGTTAATGTATCAGGCAAATTGCTTTCTCTCCCAATTAACTCTTATTAATGCCAAGAAAATAATTATTAGTTAGTCTGAGGGTTTTTGTGTGTTGGCCTTGTGGTTAAAACGTGCAAGGTGCGATCATTAAGTCTCAGTTTTCAGTCTCACTCCACCTTCGGTTTAGCTTCCTAATTCTATCACACTAAATTGTGGCTCTAAACCGGCAAACCGAACCTTTATGTTTAGTGAGTAACAATTTATCAGTTCGTGATAACTTCTGAGATGATTGGTCGGTGGTCGTCACTGTATAAATTCTCATAGTAATTATATTTTCGGTATAAAAACCTCTTACGGAAGTTACCTCGATTTAATGCATACGAATTCGTTCTCCATTTTCATGACTCCTAAGAGTGGTGTCTCATTCCAAGCTTACCGATTAGTCAAGTGTTCCAGTTTGGCTGGGTTTAATAAATCGGAAATCAGCAATTCAGTTTGTTGACAACATGGTTTTAATAGGCTTTGTAATTGGTATTACGTAACGTTCCTTTTGCTTTATTTTTGAAAACAAAATTTATATGCTATAGAGAATTCGGCTTAACGCACTCAACTAATTTGCATGTGGTAACCGAGGCAACCCGAAATATCAGATATGGTTTGTGATTGTTTATATTTTCATCAACATTGCCACGCCTCAAAAATGACAAAAGGTTATTCATTATTATTTATAAATGTCTACGAGAAATATCAATATTATTACAGTTCCACCAGGTAAAACCCTCTTACTATTTGGTCTACTTTCCTGCCCAAATTTTTATCCGTTTTCCACTATTTTGTCTTAATTCGTTTAACGTTAATAGGCAGAAACGCTAAATATTAAAGAATGAACAAAATGTTAACAGCTCTTTTATATCATGTAACAATAATACTAACTTGCTATTATTACAGTAATGGGGTAATCAGCCATTCGGATATAGCCTTTCACAATTTTATGCCTTACAATAAATTACTGTATTATCAATAAATGGTCATTTTTGGTACAATTCAATTGCATCCGCACTTCTTCAGTTAAAGAGGAACAATTAATAACTTCTTGTCTATATGTTATTTCCTAACTTACCTTAAATATATTGAGAATCAGGAGGTATTGAACAGATGCTTCGCCCACATATAGGACTTCCCAACAGTATGCATTCACTCTCTTGCCGAAGATAAAACTTCTGGGATAATTTTAAGCCTTTAGTATTATTACGTTGTTATCTAGTGATTGTAGACCGACATAATCGAAATATCGCCGGTTTGAACAAAGCAACTATCCATTGCTTATTGACGTCCAATGATTGTGTAGATGTAAACAGTCCTTCATATAAACTAAGGATTGGACAATTCTCAAACTCATTATACCAGTAGTGTTCTTCGGTTTTTTAATCTCGATTTGTTTAGGTTAAAAATGAAATGCCGATTACGGTAATGTAGTGTTTTTATTTAGACAGTTTCTTGCTAGATTATGTTCCTGTTGTTCACGAGATATTAAGCATGTTACCAAGCTCAGTGATGCACTTGTCATAATGCTTGCGTACTTTCCCAATCTGGTTTTATGCGCCATTCTCATAGGCTTTGTAAACCTATTACTAACCATTCGTTGCTCGCTTAGTGCAATCTTTTATGAATCGTGTCAGTTAGTCTAAGTTTTATCGTTTGGACTAGCTAGATTTAGACACAGTGGTCATTAGTTTGTGTTCTAAGAATAGAAACCGAAGCTTTTTCACCACATGAACAAAACAGGAAATCTACATGAAAATTTGTTTGACCTCAAGTCTAGGTATAGCTACATTAGCTCTTGGTACCACGACGTTAGGAAATCTTTATGTAAGAAAAAGTAAGCTTTGTGGCACTGTTCAATAAAAACATTGCAACTCAACGAATCCTATGAAGCTCAGTTAATCATTGTATAATAGTCTCACTTCTGTTTAGGGAGTTCTTTTTGTTAAGCTAGCTTTTATTTCTCTTTTTAATCTTAAAGGTCTATTCATTGAGATTTCGAAAAACTATTTAGACATTCACTCTTGATCTTATTATGCTTCTTGAAATCCTTATTCAAGCTAAACTGTTGGAATAGTCCGATTACCTACTGTTTCTCTTAGTCTGTAAATATATTGAGTTAAATACTTAGCTGACGGTTAATTTCTCAGTAAGATTTATTTTTACCAGTGGTTGGAAACATAGAAACACCAATCTTCGTATATTATTCATTTTACATGCGAGTGGCTACTTTACTTCGGAATCGGCATGCCTTTGCGGAATATCTTTGATCGTTTTATCACTAAGCGTAACAATTATTTTTACTGGGCTATAATAGATGTGTAGTTGAAAAAAATGTGTTAAAAATCAGTAATGTTTTATTTTATTTGTGCTGTTTGTGTCAATGTAATGTATTTATGCCCCGAGCAATCGTTGTTCTTCGCTTGACATTGTCATCCATTCTGTTTAGCATCGTCTGATGTATAATGGTGGGAATCAAAAATGTTTTGAATTGTCGAAATCCTTTTGAGCGGTTTTCAGAATCACTAATTATTCTGAAGTGTTTTATGAAAATTGTTAAAATATATGTCTAAAGGTGTGTACAATCCGACTATAGCCCACATAACCAACCATCATTTTAACAGCATTTAGAAGTCAGCAGACATTTGTCTTGATCTGAGACTCAGATGTATTTACATATATAACAGGCAACGGTTCACTACTGATTTTTAGTCTAGAAATCTACTAATCCATTTAGAATATGATAAGCTTTTTGGAATGTTATTGATTAGTATTTCGAATCGCTAACAAACTGGTGAGTTCACTAGAACTTTAAAAACATTACCTCTCTGAGTTTAACCACTTCGTTTTAAGCGGTGATGCTGAAGTTTCTTTTTGTAAAAAATGTACTAACAGAATAATCGACTCCGGATGCAACTTCTTTTTCTGCTGCTTACACTACATTTGTTCTCGGTTTAGTACTAGTCTATATCCGTTATTCGAAACCGATCAATCTCTCGAGTTTTTTTGAATTTTATTTGGAAACTTTTAAATATATTTACAACATATTGCACTTAAAACAAACAGAATATTACAGCTACTATTGCCAGTTAAGAATACACAATCTATGCACTGGCTTTTCAAAGCTCACTAATTGCTAAAGCTTCTATTTAGCAAAAAAATCAGCCCCGGAAAATATTATTGGATCAAAGCAAGTAAAGTAGTCTGACAAGTGGATTGTGTGTTCATGATGTCTTCCCAACAGTTACATGATTCTAACTATTTATAAGGTGCATGTTTCTATGCTGTTTTGTTGAACGTTTCTTCATTGTCATAAAGTTTGGCAACTTTTGAATAGGTTGTACGGCTTACATTTTCAGTAAAGATATTCTGTAGACTATAAGCTTTTCTCACTACCGATTCTCTCATCACGACTTCGTACACACTTTGTATGATGATGTTTAATCTGATTCTGTTCCAACGAGTGGCTAATAAAATCAATGCTCGTCAAAAATTTATCGCATACTTTACATTATCCACGTTTACCATCTAGTTAGTTGAACAGAATCAGTGTGTACTTCTTTAGGCAGTGTGTGGCTAAGAACTTACACCAACAGTCTCATCGTTGTATAAAGTTGTCTCTGCGTACTCGATAGACTTAGTAGAAAACTTACAATTAACAACTATTGATCTGCAAAAAAATGGTCGTCAACCGAATAAGATTTCTAAAGTGCGATAATTCATTTACTAGTTAAGAATTAGGTGAAGTTACGGAATATGAATAAATATTCAATGACAATTTACTCAATAATGAATTCATAACATTGGCCATAAATCTTTCATTGCCGACGAGCTTACACAATATATTTTGCACAGCAGCATTCCAAACAATTTGATCATACATATGTGACTTGTTATATTCCTTTCCTGCGTTGGAGAATAAAATCAAAATAAGCCACGGTCCATCATATCTTCGAGGTCATCATAGATTTTTTCCATATGCATTGAATATTTCACTTTATTAGTAAACACTTCAACAACAAATTCACGACGACAGAAAAATTCCGAAAATTCTTTAAACTTGTCTTGTGATTGTTGACTAATGTGGTGCTTAACAGCTTCTATTAACGTTTGGTTAGCCTCTTTCATTGTTTGTATCAATTTATCAATTGACGGTTCAACACCCGGCATTAGACGACGCTTGGGTCGACCTAAGCGCAATGCGATCTCAGCTATTTGATGACATTTCTCATGAAATTCATAAGCATGGTTCAACTGTTCGTCTGATAGTATATCATTTGATATTAAAATTAAGGCTTTGACATTTAATTTAATTGCCTGCTTTGTTAGATAAGCAGCTAGTTTATTATTACCTGTATATTGTTTGATCAAACTAAATATATTTTCAAATAAACGAGCCGATGAATCATCAAGAAATAATTTAATAATTCCTTTTGGTAAATTTCCAACCAACTTTTTTTGAGCTCGTAAACTAATCGACTGTGGATCGAACCGTTCTGTTGAATCTTCTGGTGTCTGAGAATTTTGAGGAGCAATTGGTTTGTTAGTCATTCTTCAAGTGTAAAAGTCAGAGTTTGTAATTTATTTTGTATATCAGAATTTGTATAGAGGTATATCAGATTTTAAGCGATAGGGTGTGGTTTCCAACATATAAAATGGGCCAATAAGGAGTGAGCATAGGATAATTAGCTGATTGGTTAGCTCGACCAGGAGAAATACCCAGTCGCAGAAACAACCAATTTAGGAGCACTAGTTAGTACTTTTGAAAGGTAATGTGTATTATATTTTATCACTATGACCACCTAAGCACATCCAAATAGTTTATTGACTTCAATAATTTCCCACTGACGCAAATAAATCAATGTCCAAGCTTAATAAGACTGGTAACAATGGAAATTCTGAGCCTGTTTACTTCAGTAAACAATCATTTTACAATACAAACTGACGAAATATTCTGAATCACTTCTGGTTATTATAATAACCAGCACTGATTCGGAACGTTATACGAATTGTTATTCTGACCCAGGTCCATAATAATTGGTTATCCATAGTTATCCAGGTTTAGAGTATTCTCCTGTCTCGTTTGTTGCTTCCAGCTCACTTGCGTCCGTCTTTGGGAACAGGTGTAAGAGTATCAATCAGATACTTTAAAAAGTATCGTACTACGGACAAATTTTTGTCTTTTACCTGGCATAAGTGGGTTTTCTTTCGTACCTACTTTACATATCATAATTCATAAAATAGACTCAAATCAAACTTATTCTGTATAGAATACATTTTCGATAATTGTAGGTTGAATCTAATCACACATACGTTTCTTCAGAACTGATATACGATATAGTTCATGATTTGTCAATACACTTTATATATCTCTTATAAAATCTTTACTCGGAAATAAACTATTTTATGTTTTTAACACTAAAATTTCCACCTACGTATTCGACAAGTTTCTTTAAAGTGCCCAGAACTAATAAACGATTTTTAATAAATTAGTTGCAACTCTGTTTAGATGAACTAGTAGCTTACATATCTACACGACCAAGCCCAGGATTTACAGTAAACCTAGATAGAGATGTGTGTGACGGTAAATAATTCTCCGACATGAAACGTTTTGTAAATCTTCAATATTGTTACTGAACACATCTATGGCGGCCTGCTTGAATAACGGGGCTACCTGTTTCTGCCATCTAATTATTTCAACAAGTTATCTGCTTCTCATTTTGTTTTAACGTCTCATTATGTCCATTACTCGCATAACCTGGTTAAATGAGTTACAGGACGACTGCCTAGTATCACTACATTATTTCAATATCTATCGTCAGGATCAATCAAACAATAAAAAGAGGTGTGACGGCGATGTAGCTAAGTTTGTAAACGAGAACTAGTGTCGATCTACGGTTACATGTTTCAAGTTTTCAAATGACTTTAACGACTGTCTAATTCTAAGATGTCGTCCAAGACATCTGAATAAATTCAGAGTCTCTACTGTCTCATGAAGGTGTACCACAAGGAGCTGTTCTTTCACCTCTTCTTTTCTCTTTTCTTCTGCATGATCTGCCATCTTCCAAAGAAAACACTTTTGTGAAATATGCGGTTGATCTCACTGTATTTATGCCTATCTCTTCCTCCTTACATCCCATAGAAATGAATGAGTTTTTGTCTCGTATTGATTGTAAGATCCAAACTACGTTTGGACTGCTGGACAGCTGTCTGGATGAGTTAGATACGCGCCCTCGCCCGATTGAAACCAAAACAAAGTAATTGGGTAAGATAGCGGTTCTATAATTTATCATAAATTTAAGTGTACATTATTACCTAAACAAATATAACCACTCAGCTATCCAACCAATAATTGTTTAATTGATCAACTCTAAACTATAATAAATAAGAACGTTGATAAAGGATGCAAGAAAATTACCAATCACCACAAATAAATGTTATTCTATCCTGTCTGGATAGATCACGTACAGATTCGTTCAAAAGGTAATACTTGGTCGCTCTATAACCCAGAGTGTTTTCAATTCTGGAAGAGTGCTTCAATTCACAACAAAAATGCACAGTCCCAGTCAACGCAGGTCAAGCAATCACAAACAGGAACAAACCAAAATGGCTGCCGCCAAGACTTAGTATAAAGTAAAACAACATAAGTGCAGTTCGGGAAGAAGCATAGGGAATTAGTGAAGGTGTGGTAAAAACGAAAACTATAATAAAATACAAATATTAACAATTCAACTGTAGTCAAAAAGTTAACATTGTACGACTAAAAGAATCAATAGGAACAAAGTGCAAGTATATACATGGAGGGATTTTCACGAACACACAAAGCATTCAAAATGGATCTTACACCGGCCCCCAAAATCCCTCCATATCACACAAGCTACCTTGATGCCTATGGTCATGGTTCATTATGTAGCATATGACACTATAGGAATGAATAGGACTTACAACAGTACGCCTACTCGACCTACCTACATTGATAATACGAGGAACTAATTCGAGCCTTCAAGGAGGCATAATCTACGTATATCTCTCCTGACTAATCCACCGTTCGTACGAACAACCACTGTTCTAACTCTTCCGTCGTCATCTATTTCACAATCTTCAACTACTCCTAAGGGCCATTTTCCACGCGTCGATATGTCCGAAGCCACGATCACTACATCCCCTTTCTGAAAATTGCGGTGTTCAACTAACCACTTTTGACGTTTTTGTAGGGATGGTAAATACTCTCTTAACCACCTTTTCCAAAACACATTAGCAAGATGATTAACCTGTTTCCAACGTTTGTCATATTTATCTCTGATGCTACCTTCTTCGACTATTCCGTCACATTCTCTCAATAACAACAAACTGTTTGGCGACAAAGCTAGTTTATCGTTAGCATCTTGAACGACCGGAGTTAAGGGTCGATCGTTCAATATCCTTTCAATCTCAATCAAATAAGTGTTTAAAGTCTCATCGGTTAGAGTCTGCTCTCTAGTTATCAGCAATAACAGTCGGCGTATGGACCTAATCATCCTTTCCCAAACCTCACCCCTGTGGCTGGCTGAGGGCGGGTTAAAATGCCACTGAATCTGCCTAGCTGACAGTTCTTTGTCTATTTTCTGTTGATTCAACTGTTGCACAAATCTCCTTAACTCAGAGACCGCACCCACAAAATTTGACCCATTGTCACTGTAAATTTCTGCAGGTTTCCCTCTTCTTCCAATAAAACGTAGCAAGGCCATTATAAACGAATCAGTATTCAAACTGTGTGTCAGTTCAATATGTACTGCTCGGGTTTGCAAGCAAGTAAATATACATCCATACCTTTTTTCTAATGATCTTCCTCTCTTGACAACAAGTGGTCCAAAGTAGTCTACTCCCACGGCTGAGAAGCTATACCATCCTGGTTGAACTCTACAAGCTGGAAGCGGCGCCATCAACTGTTGCCCTGTATTCATCGTAAACCGCCGGCATGTCACACACATACCTATCACTCTCTTAACCGTGCTGGTTGCCTTCATTATCCAATACCATTTTCGAATTATAGCCAATACTTGGGACGTTCCTGCGTGCCCTTGTTCTAGTTGTTTTTGTAAGCCTTCTAAAGATATTCCATTGATGACATCTACTGGATCGACTGAATTACCCAAAGATTTACTCATTTTTTTGCCATGAGCATCACGAACCATAGCATGTAAATAGACCGTATGAAATGGTAATTGTCCCATTAATTTCAAACCAATCATAACCATACGTGCAACCGAGAAAAATATAATATCATGCCCAGTTTCTAATAAACTACCAGGATAATAAGCCTTTAAATCTGGTATTTGTTCAGGCCAACCAAATCCAGATAATAGAAATAATTGTGAAGAGAACCACGTATCTAATACATCATTATCTTGGTTTAAAGTTAAGTTATCTGGTGAACAATGGAAATTATCACAGGCCTTTTGAAGTGCTTCTTCGATTGTATGACCAACTACCCATGAATTATGATCTGTAGGATCTAAAACTTCTAAATTATCTACGCCAGGACGTCGAATCGAAACATGAAAAGCAGGAATATGATGTCCTCACCATAATTGTCGAGAAATACACCAATCCTGACAATCTTTAAGTTAATTATTCCATGTACGAATATGGAAACTATGAATAATACGTGAGCGGCCTTCAGATACCTCCTTCATTGCCGCATTAGCCATGTCCTTACAACGTAGGTACCATCGAGGTTTCAACAATGGTTCAACAATATCTTTGCTTCGAGAACACATCGGTACAACCACAGGATTATCTTTCTCACCTCTATACAAGCCTAATTCCACAAGAGCTTTCTGAACAACATCTCGAGCGACGAATCTTTGAAGTCCTGCAAATCTGGGACCTGTTTGACGCATAAATTTTACCCAATTTGGCCACGCGGACTTGTATGGCTCGTTGAGAGGCTGATCCCAGCCTATTTGGGACTTACATAATTTTTGCAAGAGGACCTTGGCAGGAAGACAGACCGGAGCAATTAAACCCAAAGGATCGAACAGAGAAGAAACTATGAATAGAATCCCTTTCATAGTCGGAAGCCTTTCAATACCATTTGTATACTTGATATACAGAATGTCATCTTTCAACAATCTACGCTTCAAACTCTGTAGTCTACTGTTTGCCACTTCATAATTCCCCCCTCCCATATTTGGGTGCACTTTCCATGGTATAGGGACTCCAAAATGACCATTTACGAAGCGTGTGCCACCTTCCACAATCCTTATAGCCGTCTTGTCGTCTACTGATAATGATTTATCATTTGAATAAACATCAGAAAACTCTACATCATAAGGTTTACGTATTTTGTTCTCCAAAGTCTGTAATTTACTGGTATGATTAACTACTCTTTTCCTATATTCCGAACATAACGCAGGTCCGAAAACCGTCCACCCCAGCAACGTCTTCACAGCGTACGGGCTTTTTCTTCCGCCCAACCGCTGGTCTAACACCCAGTGTGCTTCTGGTATGTCGCAACCAATCAACAGTAAAACTTCTTCAGAGTCTAGGCTATCTATTGGTACATCACTTAAATGCGGCCACTTAACTAGGTTGTTCATTGCTGACTTTGTTGGCTTATGACCTGGTATACGTGCTACAATCAGAGCTCCTTCAATCGTAACATGTTCAGATCGATCTAAAGAATATACCTCGAAAGGCGCACTCGTGACCTTCATTGTTCTATTACCGCCTACAGTCTCAACTACCACTGATGCTTGGTCTTCGTTCAGCCCGAGAGACCTCAAACAGTTTGATTTTATCAGTGTCACATCAGAACCGTTGTCCAACAGAGCATAACCTACAATCTCGGCTTTTCGCGATTTCAACCGTACGGGAATCATTCCTAAACACACTTGACTGATTAGTGATTTAGTATATCCGCAACAACTCGAGGTACCAGGTTTCTCACTCTCGCTGTGTAACAAAGAATGGTGTTTCCTTTCACAACCCTCAACGTTACAACGTTTTGCCAGCTTACATTCACTAACTTTATGCCCTTGCCTGAGGCAGACAAAACAGATGCCATTAACCTTCGCGTGAGACCATCTCTCTTGAACGGTAAGCGCTAAAAATTTTGGACATTTATAAATAGCATGGTCTAGGGAACACACACTGCATTTAGCTTTCTCTTTCGAATTATTCGCCTGCTCCAATTGCAAGTGACAATTTGTCTTTACGTTGTGTCCCTTTCTCGGACGATTCGCTAACCGTCCAAACCTACTATTAGCTACCCTCGCGCGGGATGCTATAAATTGTGTAAGCTCGTCAAAGGTTGGTTCTCTATTATCTTCAGTCAATTCATCTACCCAGTCCGCCCATTGGGCTTGCATAACTTGAGGTAAGAGTCCTACTATTCTCTCTAAGGTAATTAAAGAATTTAAGTCGGCAGTATACTTCATCTGTTTCAAAACCATAGAACAATTTTCCATCCTAATAGCCAGATTTGTTAGTTGCTCAGGATCACTGTAATCAACATTTGTAGTTTTGAATAAGTCCTCTAAAGTCTCCCGAGCGATTACATGCGCCTGTCCGAACAACCGTTTTAGAATTTCTTTGGCCTTTTTGTAACCAAAAGAGGCTTCCAACATAACACAACCCTCAATGGCTGTTTTCGCTTTACCCTTACAATAATGTATCAAATAAAGCAAGCGTTGACCATCATCCTTGACCCTTGATTCCACATAGGTCTCAAACTCCCTTAAAAACTTCCAGTAACCTCTTGGTTGACCGTCGAAATAACCTAACTCAACCTTTGGTAACTCTGGACCTATGAAAAACGCCGACGGCCTTACGTCTTTTGCTTGCTTCACGTCTAAATTAAGGTTTTCTATGCCATCTGACATTATATCACAACTAGATTCACTATAATTACAATCGTCCCTATTAGAATATGAACCATGACACATAGAAGCATCAGAAGGCACTTGCTTTGATTGAGGGGATCCATCCTTTTGTTCATCTCTTTTAACATCCACAAGCCTTGGACTTAATTTCCTTCGACGATTGTTTGGCATCGGAAGCGAACGACCAGATATTCCCAGAGACGATGATTGGAATCAACGAAACGAAAGCCAAACGAATTCGACCAAATATTTGTTTAGAACTGTAAGATCCAAACTACGTTTGGACTGCTGGACAGCTGTCTGGATGAGTTAGATACGCGCCCTCGCCCGATTGAAACCAAAACAAAGTAATTGGGTAAGATAGCGGTTCTATAATTTATCATAAATTTAAGTGTACATTATTACCTAAACAAATATAACCACTCAGCTATCCAACCAATAATTGTTTAATTGATCAACTCTAAACTATAATAAATAAGAACGTTGATAAAGGATGCAAGAAAATTACCAATCACCACAAATAAATGTTATTCTATCCTGTCTGGATAGATCACGTACAGATTCGTTCAAAAGGTAATACTTGGTCGCTCTATAACCCAGAGTGTTTTCAATTCTGGAAGAGTGCTTCAATTCACAACAAAAATGCACAGTCCCAGTCAACGCAGGTCAAGCAATCACAAACAGGAACAAACCAAAATGGCTGCCGCCAAGACTTAGTATAAAGTAAAACAACATAAGTGCAGTTCGGGAAGAAGCATAGGGAATTAGTGAAGGTGTGGTAAAAACGAAAACTATAATAAAATACAAATATTAACAATTCAACTGTAGTCAAAAAGTTAACATTGTACGACTAAAAGAATCAATAGGAACAAAGTGCAAGTATATACATGGAGGGATTTTCACGAACACACAAAGCATTCAAAATGGATCTTACATTGATTGTTGGTCTGTTGGTAATGGTCTTATAATTAATCCGTCTAAATGTCAAGCTGTTAACTTTAGCATGAAACATGAACGGAATCTAAACACCATTTTGAGATCCCATAATGCTTGTGCCGTTAGGGACTCTTTCATAAACACAGTGTCGATGGTCAATTATCTTGGTGTTACCTTTTCCTCTAATCTATCTTGGTTTTCTCACGTTTTATTGTTATCGAAGAAGGTTTTCCATTTGATTTACTATATAAAGAGATTGCATGCTCTTGGGATTACTCGTCATTTACTCTTACAACGAGTCAATTCTTGAATACTACCTATTATTCTTTACTGTTCTCAATTATTCTTTCCCGGGCTTTTGTGAAAAGACTTGGCAGTATTGTGGAGAGTGCTGAAGGTAGTTAGAAAGAAGTGTGGTGAATCTTCCGAGATCATAATTAATATGGTTGTGGATAGATATCTAAAGACATGCAGACTCCTGGCAGGTGTTATTTTATCATATATGAACCATCTCCCTAACCCATATATTTCTCCTTATATATCTTCTGTCGGAACGAGACGAAATTACATTGGAATCCAAGTACTCAAGCAAAAGTATAAAAGTTCTACAATACCTTACCTAGCAACTATACTCTGTGACGAACAACTTGTTAAAGTTAACCAAGTCAATAGCCTGCATCCTTAACATCTCACTAACGTGGAAAGTTCTAAAGTTTTTCTGACTTTTTTTGCCTTTTTTATCCTTGTTTCTGTTTTTTGTGAAAGAAACTTATTGAAATATCTTGTGCTGAGAATTCCGTATTGTACCAAAATATAATATTGTATAAAGTCACTAATAATAATAATCTTCAAGGGTGAACCATGACGTGAACTTTCGCACCAAACGATAGACTACGAATCTGGCCTTTGTCATAACATTAAATTTTTTTAGCATTGTTATGTCATTTTTCTGTCCACGATTTTATTCACATAATGACTGATTTTATTTTTGTTAGTAAATAAGATTCTCGCACTCATCCTCTGACCTTGAGTTGCGTACCATTTTAGTCTGACGGCACCAAAGCCCGGTTTAACTATACAGAAGCTGACTTCGACGAGTGCAGCGTCACTGACCCATGTTCAGCTCATTGAGTGATGAATGGACTACTACGACAATTCAGCAGGTGCGTTACAGCCAGCAAGTTTATTGGCAATGTTTCTTAACCTTATGACTCCCTAAAAAATCTGTTCTCAAACGTTGAGATCTAACCAATTGACAAGGGTTAGGTAAGTTATCCCTCAATATAGAATTGCAAAACGGCTCAGCAACGTTTTCACCGACAACTAAAAGCTTCACTATCAGCTGCAAACTTTTCACAGTGGACCGACACTCTTCCACCCGTCTTATTAGGTATTCGCAATGCAGTGAGAGCTGACATTGGATACACAGCGACTCAACTCGTTTATGGAACGAAACTTCGACTTCCAGGAGAATTCGTATATCCTTCGTCCTCTTCAATGAACATGGATTTAACCTCCTACACGAACATGCTTACAAACGCAATGCGTTCAGTTAAACCTGTTTCCACTCGACCGCAATCAACTGATGTTTTCGTTCAACCTGACTTACGATATAGTACACACGTCTTCGTTTGTCGAGACTCGCATCGAAGACCTCTTTGATCAGCATACAAAGTACACTTCGAAGTTGTTCAACGCGAACCCAAATACTATATAGTCGATAAGAACAGAACCAACGACAGCATCAGCATCGATCACCTCAAAGCAGCGTATTTAGGGGGAAATCCTATTCCTGTCGATTTTCCTACGGTACAACGGTACGACATGACTCCTACCCTTTCAATACCTCAACCAACAGCCAACACGCACGATGATACTTCGGCGGTATCAAACATTAAACTTAAACCAACGCGTTCTTGAAGAAGAGTAAGATACTATTAAGATACTAGTTGACATATTATATCACCTCAATTTTTTGTACTATATGTAAATTTTAAAAATATTCATTGAAAAAAAGCAAAACGGAAAAGCAATATCATAAAAATCCTTTTTTATGCTATTAAGCGTGCATGAATTTATTTTCCTTTTTTCGCCCTGTGTTTTTTTTACGCACATACGAGTGTATTTCCACATGCACTTACAAATTATTTTCTCTTCCAGAACGATGAAATTGATGCGGAACCTAATTTTACTTTGTACTTTTTCCTTTTTTTATTATATTGTAATTCATGGTTCTTTATAGTAGGGAAAGATGACCAGAAGTTGCTAAACCTAGCAAGCTATCAGAAGAGTATTTACCAACATCAAACTCATTGGGTTTAAACTTCTGGCTGGTCACGTCCTATGGTCATCACTACCTCACTAGGGGGATCTGTGGCGGTAAATAAATCCCCAAAATAAATAGCTCTATAAGTTTTCGACACTGGATGCTGACCACATTAGTTTTAATGGACTCACTTAGCTGAAGGTGCTCGGTCATGCATCTGCACCAGATCACGAGTGGGAACGCCGTGCTCATCAACCCCTGCAATCGCTAGCCAGATTAGGTCAGATGATCCTCGATATCAAATATATCTTCAAACTTCCCTGCTTCTGTCTTTTGATTTCACTTGGTGGGTACGATTCATATTAGGTGTTACTAGTTAAGGCGTTGACAAAATCCAAATACCTGTGGCATCTTCAACTTCTTGATCTAATTGCGTTATTTCTTTGATTCCTAGTTTATGCTATAACTCAAATATTTCTAATTATCCTAGTTTATCATGATCAAAAATGGTTTAATGCTCTCACAATTAGCCCGTCACATAGAGTATCTGTTACTGAACCAGGAGAAAAGAACATGACAACACCTACAGTAAATCTTCCAGAAGTCGCAAAGGATCCTTCGAAAGGTATTCGTCGGAATTCAAAATGCAGCAAAAGTGCATAGCTTTCAGTAAAATGAGTATCAGCGGTATACTCTTTAGGCTTAAAATCTAGAATGGTTATATCTCGCAGATATCGCTACAAAACTAGGAAGATAATTGGGCTAAAACCTTGAGTAATCCTTTAAAAATACGTTATTTCTCAAGTCTTCAACATTGATGCCGACCTCATCTGTGTTATTGAACACCTCTTGTGAGGGCGCTTCGTGGTACATCCGCGCCAGAATAGGAATAGGCACACGTGCTTCTCATCCCTCATCTTGGATCATATATTTGTGGACACATAGGCCTTCTTACAAATATATCATCCAAGCCCTTCGTTCCCGACCTCTGACTTTACTGCCTTTGAGATCCGTGAATGTAAAGGTGCTACGAACAGCTGCATTTTAGGTCGCTGCGTATCCATGACTTCAAACCTGTGAAAAGCTATGTTCTGTCTCTCAGACATTTTTAGGTTGAAAATTTCACTCTTACTATCAATTTTTGTTGTTCAATGACCCTGCATTGCATCTTATTATGAAATTAGGTGTTTTCAAGCTGGTTGTCTGATCAAACACAACACCTTTCCCGAATGCTTATGTTTCACACTATATTTTCAACTACGTGAGACAGTTACGTCTAGCACAATATCAAGCATTATTTTCCAAACAAATGTGAGTGATTGTATAGACCGAACAACCGATATTCAGTTTGAACAACGGACTGACAAACCCAAAATTTATTCGATTAGACCAGACCGCGTTCCGCTATATAGCTCACAACGCGTTTTTGAGATACGCGTATTATATTATATCAAAACACAAACTCTGTGCTCAATATAAACGGTTCTAATTCAGAAAACAGAACAAATTACAGCAAAAATACAAAATACCTCAAACGGTACAGTCATTAGTTTCTCTAACGCAAAGTAGCGCGCTAAACAATGAAAGAGACAGTTAATACTAAAGGATTTGATACCTGAGAATCAATACAAATATTCCAAACAAGATGGGATCAAATATATACCTGCAGTGATTGCAGCAATCCTCCCAAGCAGACAGTCAGAAGGTTTACAGTCACAAACTGAACCACACCGTGACCTTGAGCTTAGTCAAACACGACCTTACTGACAATGGTCCGGCAATACGCAATGGAAGATTAAGTAACAAAAAATAAGTCTCTAATCAAAATCACATAATAAAGACCCAAACGAGGAAGACTGAAGTACAAAAGATATGGTTAAACGAGATCGGAACAAAGGTTAGAATACACAAAAAGGGAGAAGGAACAAATAAATGACAATACTGTTCAACAAAGAAACTGCAGAGGGATTTTCACTGTTCTCCTTCCGTTACAGTGATCATGAAAGTATAATGATGTTCGAATATATGTAATAGTGCAAAAGTCTTGGAATGTAATACTTATGAGCAAAGAAATAAAACCAATGATAGGTCAATAAAATGTATTTGGTGCAGTAAATCGATAAGAAGTAGACAACAAGGACCTCACACTACTTTAAGGTTGATGACTTTTTAAGCTAACGATCATAGTTATCACTTTCAGTCTTGAGATATCCAAGATATTTGGCAACTGAGCTGTATGTTGTGAAGTCCAAATGATGGCCGAACAGAATATGCAACCAGATTGTTTGAGGTGGTGTGTTTCTTTCAACATGCCGCAGCTGCAAGACATCGGTAGGACCAGCAAATTATCTGTCTGTTTGGGATAGAAATTAAGTGAGATATGCACATTCCAGCCTTCATTCTAAAAGGGTAGGAATAAGCTGAAGCTTATCTATATGTGAACGAGTTGAATAATTCATTATCTTAAGTTCAAGTCTTATGATGAAACGTTACAAGCTCCGGGTCCATACATTTAAAAATA